CAAATTGGCTGCAGGCAGATCTCGCATGGGTCACTGCTATCTTCAGGCAGGACAAAAAGGCATCAGATTCAAGCGCCAGCCACCTGTGCTGAGCTGGTCCTGCTTGGGTTTGCTTGTTTTTTTTTTTTTTAAATCTACCACTCTTTTCCTCCCACTGTTCACCTGGGTGACCTGAAGCATATCCTCTTGCTAAAATACCACCTGGGGACGAGACTCTTGAAAATGGCAATTCACGCCCTCCCACTTACGATTTACTGTGATTATAGCAACATAGGATGGGAGACTGTTGATTTTCCTTAACGCTGAGGAAATCACAGCAGTCACACCCACGGGAGCAGATTTCTGCCGCCTTGGCCAGGCTTTAGCCTTTCCTCCCATACTCAGGCAGAAAGCTCTTAAATTCCTGGACATGACCATGTTATTGCACCTTTTCATCAGGTATCACAACATTTTCCTCAGGGGGAATCAGTGTGAAACACCTCCCAGCCTCTCCCCACCAGGAACTCAAGTTCAGCTCCCTGTCCCCATGCAACCAGTGTCCCCGAGCACCTGGCTTTTAGCACACATGCTGTTTTTTTTTTCAGCACCTTTACGGCCAAATCTATGTCTTCCCTAAATCCGTTACTACTTAAAGGCAAGTGCATTTCAATTCCCACTTACTGAGTTTCACTAATAATTCTTCCTTGCATAGCACCAGCTGCTTTTGCGGCAGAAAGCCCTAAGCTGAACTTGACCTGGAAAGGAGCAGCGGGGATTCTTGGAAAGGACCACAAGACAGAAAACAGCTTTTAGAGCCAGTCCCCTTGCACAGACCCCCGGGGAGCCCCGGGGACCACAGCTCACCCTCCAGGACCTCTGCCCGGAGCTGGGGAGCCCAGGGAGGGCAGCGGCAGCCTCGTGCTTGCAGCTACCTGCCCTCCTGCAAGCAGCAAAACCACTCCTGCCTCCCCTGGAGAAAAGCAAATGACGCTCCAGGGCAGCTTTGCAGATTACACCGGCAATTTTGCCTGCAAGATCCAGGCAGGGGGGAACAAATGAGTTCTCAGCTCCCTCAGTGGTCTTCAGAGCAGTCCGTAAGAGATCAGCCATGCACCAGCCCTAGGAGAAAGTTTCCACTCAGCACAGATCCAAATCCCATCGTAAAAGCAGGACGTTTCGCTGGCACGGGCTGAACTTTTGTCCCCGTGTGCTCAGGCTGTACATTTAATAGCGGGCCCTGTTCTTTCCCCAGCAGCGCTCCCATTGCTACAGAGACATTCATTTAAAGCACAAAGCCTTGTCTTGTTGCCCGGAGCGTGAAACGGCCTCTTTGGAAAAACCCATGTAACCCCTGGAAGAGCCTTGGGAAGGGTTTGGAGGAACACCCACCCCAGCGCCCGGCTGGGCATCCATCCCTCGCACCCAGCCACGGGCACCCGTCGGAGGAGCCGGGAGGGAACCACCTCAAAAGGGTTGGAGCACATTCATTGCGGCGCGATGTTATTTTCTTTAGGCTTAACAGATTTCTGGCCGTAAAAATTTCCGTGGCTAAAGCAGCAGTTATTGAAATACATTATTTCATGCCGAGCCCCCGGCGCGGGTGCCACGCCGTTGGGTTTAACCCTCCCCGCTGCACTGCGTCAGGTTTATGTCCACGTGCTCGCGGCGAGCAGCCAGCCCAGGGAGTTTCAGGCGAGATTAAGGCAGCTCTGGATCGCAGATGCATTTGCAGGCCTGACACGTCAACACTCACGGACCAGGGCCCGCTCCCCAGCAAGGTGCGTGCCGGGGGCTGGACCAGCGGGTTTTAACTGGTGGATTTGGAGAAGGAAAAAGTGTTGTCGCAGATGTGGATGGTCAGATACCGCGGGTCTCGGGGATGTCAGAGGAAGCCCTGTCCCAGGCTGCCCTCCAAAATATCCAGCGCTTTTAAACAGCCTTCCCCTCCATCGTCCTAATTTGTAGGGTCTCTAAACCACCACTCAGCAACGAGTATTTATCAGAGCCCAAAGTGCACATTTGGCTTCGCAGCGCGAGACCTGGGGCTTTTTAAAGGATTAGCGGTCTCTGACAAACGCACTGCACAGAGACTGAAATTGTATTTGAAACAACTCCCCCCACCTCCCCCCGAAACAAGCCCTCTGCCTCAAGGCCGTGCGAGCTGGGCTGGCTCGCCTGGCAGCGGGATTTCACACCAGCAGATGAGCTCCCCCGGCTCCCGGAAGACCTTTCCCAAGCTTCTGCCCCGAAGAGCCCCCCATGCCTCCTCCGAGAGGAGCCGCAGCCGCCCTCCCAGCCGTGCCGGCACACGTTATGGCCAGCTGCCACCTCCAGGTCGCTCGTGGTCCCGAAGCAAGCCCCATCCCAAGGCTGTCACCCTGCCTACAACCCCAGGCGCTGCCCGCTCAGACCTTCCCAGGCTACAGCTGGAGCAGAGAGGCGATGCTCGCCGCCCCGCGGGGTGGCGATTACACGAGATAATCCCCGAGCACGGCAGGCTTCTTCCCACCTCAGCAAGAAGCGAGCATCCAGGCTTCCAGAAGGAAAGGTGATCTTCTAATTGCTCAAGGTTTTGCCAACAGCGTAATGAGACACTGAAGCTGCGAGTGGGTCCCTGGACTGTTGGAGAATGGCTCAGAGACAAGGGTCCTGAGCCCACCGAGCAATTGTATGATCAGAGCCTGCTCTAGCTGCTGATGCTGAGCCTCACTAGGGTTTGCCTGCAGCTGCTCGCAGCTGCTGATACAGGAGGAATGTCAAGGACGCTTCAGCCCTGTGTACCGTGGTGTGTCGAAAACAGGTTAAGGGGGATTAGGAATAGTGGTCTGAGAAACCCAGTGTTATGATAACGGTGGTCTGAGAAACATTGTGTTACGGTACTGTTGTGTATCAAAAACAAGTCAAGAGGAATTAGAAATAGTGGCATGAGAAACTTAGTGTTATGAGAAGCTTGTGCTGTAAGCTAACTGCAAGTAGGTGGACCGTGCGAATACGACCTTTGGAGCTTAAGCCAATCAGCTAGTGACTAGTAGGCATAATTAGTAGAAGGATTATAAAAGGCTGTAATGAAAATTAATAAACTGAAGCACACTTTATCACTCATACTGAGTCGGCTACGTTCTTCCTCCTTGGCTGGGTCCTCGGCTCACCCAGCCCGGCACTAGACTACCTCTGACTACTCCTCCCGGCTTCATGAACTACTCACAGGCTGGGACACGAAGCTGAAGGCTGCTCTCCGGGGCAGATGGCACCAGGCTCGCTCCCCTTCACGCCAGGGTTGCTCTGCAGCAGCTCCCGCACGACGGGCAAGCCTGCTCGGCAGAGGTACACGAGCCTCAGCTTAACCGTGAGCCCCGAGGACCCGTCTCCTGCATCCAGGAGAGAGACAGGGAAAGGCTATCAGAACCGAAGTGTAGCTGGTTGCCTTGAATTCAGAGGACACTTCCAGTTCACGCGGATGGAGCAGCTCGATTTTAGATGGTCCAGTGGGCTCCAGGGACAAGCAGGATGATGCAGAGGCTAAATAAAGGGAAACCGCGTCTGAACGAGACCCTGAAAGGGAAAAAGTGGATCTGCTTCACCCGTCTGACACTGAGAACCTCTCCTGAGCCCCGGACAACGTGGGCGAGCACGGAGGATGGGGAGGTGCCCCGGAGGGGGGGGGCCGTGCCCCAGCCCCGCGGGGACAGGCACCGTGTGAAATGGCAACGGGGGCCCCCGGGGACTCGCGTCCCGCCGGCCGCAGATCCGGCCGGAGCGCGGGCGGCTCCCTCCCCGCCACCTTCAGCGGGGCAAAGCAGAACCAACGCCCCGAGGCAGAACAGAGCCGCACACAAAACATCAGTTTTCCCCGATTTTCCGTCGATTTTCCCGGCTTTCGCTCGCTGGTGGCTTTGGGGAGGGGGGAAATTCAGCCGCTCTCACGGACTTCTTGCTGGAAATTCAGTGTCTGTGGGATTTTTTAAGTATTCTACAATCCCTCCACGCAGGCACCTGTCAACGCGCATCTCGGAGAAGCAAGGGCAGAAGCTCTACCAAATTTTCTACCATGGACATCCCAACATACACGTGGGTATCTTTTGACCAAAAAAAAGCTGCTTCAGCGCCAAGGCCCCCTTGCATGACACCAAGAAACCGTTTTGTTTAAAGCGGGTGAAATACCACATCACACCGAAAGCACCAGATGAAAAGAAGATCGGCAACAGAAACCAAGGTGGTACTATAATTAACTTTTTCTTTTTATTTACACCACAAGAATAACAAGTTGTCATAATGTGGTACAAAATACTGGACTCCTAATAAAGTTGAAATTGAAGTCGGTACTGTCAGAGAAAGACACCATTGGCCAGTAAAAAAAAAAAACAAAACAAAAAACAAAAAACACAAAAAACAACAAAAAAAAGAGAAAAGCAGAACAAAACAAAAAACCCCAAACAAAAACAAGAATGAGAAAAATATTCCAACTCCACCAAGTAAAAGAAAGGACCATCAGAAAATTTAGCACAAAGAATGCTACCATCACTTAAAGTAGGGTCCATACAATAAGAGTGAAACTGTGTCTAAATTACAGCGTAAACCGGTAGCTGCTACCAATGGTGACGTCATACTGAGCATGTATAGGTATAAAGTAGAATATAATATAGTTACAACTTTTTGATACTACATATCTGTAATAAGCTCTTGGGTGAATAATGTTTCAACCCCTCCCCCCCCACTTTTATATATATATTATATATATAAGTTTGTCATCCTCATAAATTGGAAAATAGCGCCTCCACTATGGAGCACAGAAAAGTGTTAATTTATTTTCTTTCAATAGGATACTTTTTCATCAATATCAAAGACAAAGTGAAGATGAGCTGAGAACGAGCTCAACTTCATGACAATGAAGAAACATGTTTTCTTTTTGATGTAAAGTCTCGTTTTAAACCACAGTGTTGCACAGTACACGACTGTTTAAAGTGAAACCCAGCAATAATACATCATGTAAAAGTAATTTTAAAAAAGTTAACGCAGCTGTGCTGAAGAGTTAACTCTTTAAAGTCCTCGTCACTCATCTCCTTAGAAGTAACGACTACGTGTGTTGACAAAGGGTTGCATCCAACCTCCCCACCCAGCCGAGAAATCAAAACAAAATACCAACCCAAATGAAAAGAAAAAAAAAATAATAATGACACAGGCAGTTTACTTTGTGTTCTGCGTAGTTTCCCTAAAAACACTGTTTCCACATAAATACAATAAACTCTATTATTGGTAAGTCACAAGTGCTAGATAAACGTCTTTTTTTTTTTTTTTTTTCTTTTTTTTCTTTTTCTTCTTAAAATGAGAAATGTTTAAGTAGTCCTTTTTATTTACTCTTTTATTTTTTAACAATAAAAAGCACAATTTCTTAGTAAGTTCAGTAAGACGCAAAAAATGTTCCCACTCTCCTTCCTTTGTGTGTAGCTGTGTGGGTGCGTGCGTGGGTGCGTGGGTGTGTGTGTGTGACAACAACGTCCCAACCTTTAGTCTCTGCAAATGCCACGAGAGGAAAAAAACAAAACAAAACAAAAAAACCAACCCAAAAAAACCCCCAAACCACAATTTTTTTTTTTTTTTTTTCATTTTCAAAGCTGCCAAGTTTGGCGTGCAAAATCTGTATACAATATAAAGACATGCCAACCTTACAGACCATGCAACCTCAAGGTGTAGGAAACTTAAAAAAATATATTCATATATATTTATATATATATTTATATATATCAATGCCCATAAAAGATGTGGGCCCAAAAAAGTTTACAAAAGGAAGAATGGAATGAATACATGACTGTGACTAATAAAAAAAGGAATGTTTTGTATCGAAAGTAAAAAAAAAAAACAAAAAAACAAACCAAAACAAAACCAAACCGAAAAACCAACCAACCAACCGACAAAAAAAAACCCCGGTGATTACTTGTGTACTGCAAACTGGGCCTCGCTTCTCTGCAAAGAGGACTGAAAGATGCTCCTTTTTTCCCAAGCAGGTACGAAGGGTGCCCCGGGCAGCACCGCGCTGGGATGCAGGAGCATCCCGGGCTCCCGCCCCGCTGGCGCAGCCGCCCGACGGCAAAATCGTCTGAAATCAAGAAGCCAACGGCTCAAAAGGTGAAAAAAACCCCGGCGAGCCCCAAAACGAGGGCTCTTCCCCCCCCCCCGGGCTCTGCGCCTGCACCGGCCCTGAAGAGCAGCCCCACCTCACCCGGGGCGAAAACGCATCCGCGTCGCCGGGAGTTTGGAGGAGACGAGCTCCGCCGTCTCGGGGAAAAAAAAAAAAAACCTTCCCGTCCCTGGCAAAAAGCTGAGCGGAAACGATGGAAAGAAACGAAGGTGGCATCCTGACAAGCTCCTCCGATTTTTAGAAAGAAACCGGCTCAGCACGGCCAGCCGGCAGCTCTCAGGAACGCGAAAAGAAAAGAAAAAGCTTCGCCACGGCCGAGAGGAGAAATACAAAAACCCTCCAGGGAAGAGCTGACAACCGAAACGATCGTGTAAACATGGTTACTGCCCACCGCGTGTACACGGCAAAAGGAAAATTTAAAGTCAGTCACCAGATTCGGCAGCCAGACTAATTTTAGATCACAGCAGCAAAGCGGTTGGTTGAAAAAAACCCAACCACAACACCTCCAGGTACGTCGTGTTTTCACACGGGAAGGTTGTTTTTAGAATATGCTGAGGATGGTTCCGACGCGACCGAAGCTGTTCATGATTTTAACACGTACTTGGGTTTGCAAAACTCAAATGCAGTAGTGTCTGGTTTTAAAATCGCATTATAAACCGAGGAATAAAGGAAAAGCCTCTTGCGTTTGCTCACACGTATGATTATGCTTCAATATTCCTCCCGCGAGCGAGTCCTGAATGGAATGAAAGTGGCCGCTTCAAGAACTGGAAAAAAATAAGTTACTGGAAGCAACCCCGTCAGTCGTCATCGTAACAGAATAAAATAATAATAATATTAGTAATTAAAAAAAAAAAAAAAAAAAAAGCTACCCTTGGTTGTTCGGAGGCGGGGTGTGTGCTATCCTACACCGCTGTAAGAAGGCACGCGTGTCAATCCGGTCTCCTCTAAGCTGCTCAAATTCTTCGTGGCAGGGCTTCGCTGCTGCTCCCACCCGCCGTTTGCAGGAGGCGACAGCACCTCCTCGGGGTGCTGGGGGGGGGGGGGGGGGGGCGGGAAAAAAAAAACAAAAAAACAAAAAAAAAAAAAAAACAAAAAACCAAACAACAAACCGCCTTCGGGAAAAGTTCTCCAACCCTACCAGCGACGGGAAGAAAGGAGAGAAAGTGAGAAAGAGGAGGTGGGGAGGTGTGCGTGCGTGTCTGCGTGTCCGTCTGTCCGGCGAAGAGAAAATGCCAGGTGTCCCACGAGCGTCCGAGCGGCCTTCCCGAGGGCGGGCCGCTACGGCAGCCGCCTGGAATCCGCGCTACGATCCGCGCCGAGGACAAAGACAGCGCCCACTGGAATCCCACTACGTCAAAGGTAAGAAAACTCCTTATTTTCTTTACACAGCTACTATAACAGAACTGAGGAAATATACAGTCGGCGGTATCATTATTACAAAAGAGCCCATCGCGTTCCCTCCTCGATAAAACTGCGCCCTTTCCGAAAAAAATAAACGCTGACAATCTGCCACAGTTCCTTACGCCTGCAGAAAGCTGCTCACTGTACAGAAGACTTAAGAAAAAAGGAAAAAAAAAAGAGAAAAATTTAAACAAACAAACAAAAAAAATAATGTACAAGCAAGAAAAGTGGGAGGAAAAAAGGTTTAGACGCTATTGCCGTTCGGAAATGAAACCTGCCAAATAGAAAATAAACGTCAGAGTCACACAAACAAGGCTTCTTTAGGGTTTTGTGAAATATCGATATAAAAATTAACAGCAAATTCATAGTCTTTGCTATAAAAAACTCATTTTTTTTTTCTTTGTTAGAAAAGGATCACAACTAAAAACCTTAAATTAAAATACAAATGTTTAGGGTAGTTGCCCAGTGGCTAACGTGTTGGCTTTCTGAAAAACTTTCCAACCTGTCGTCTGAAAATCCTCGAGTTTCAACCTGGATCCTTTTCCAAAAGCACCTTTTACATTCCAATTCCCAAATCTGTCCCTAGGGAGCTTCCAATGGCTACTGTTATAGTATGCATTTATTACATATATTTTTCTATAAATGCATCATAAATATTTTTATCAATAATTCATAGGAATCCGGTTTCTAAGCTTGGAATACATTTGGAATATACATTATACACATATATATATTTATACCTAACAATTTAAGCAATATCTCATGCTAGTTGCTTTTAATAAAAAGCATTCCAGTCTTAAACCTGCATTTGTGTCTAATACATGCTTCAACAACCAAATTGATAAGTTCAATTACTAGATAATGTAGAAGAGAGAAAACATTTGAAAATTTGTATTTAAAAATGGTTGAATTTCAAAGACCCAACAGTATTTGCCACTTTTTTGGCAACTACCTTAATTTTTTTTTTTCTTTTTTTTTTTTTTTTTTTTTGAAACAGCAATGAAAGAAAACAAAACAAATCCAAACTTGTAGACAGTTTTTGGAGACGCTCTGTTCAGCTGATGCCTGCTTCCCACCATCATGCCAGCACAAGCCAAAAAGTCTTCCTTCCTGATGGCAGTTCTTGGCTTTCCCAACCAGAGGAAAAATATTCATGAACTGCTGTGTTCTTTGTGGTTTTTTTTTGTTTTGTTTTTGTGTGTGTGTTTTTTTTTAATTTTTTTTTTCTTTTTCTTTTTTTTTTTTTTTACTTAAGGCATTGTTCCTCAAACTTCAGAAAATCCAGCTGCACCAAATCCATCAATTAAAAAAAAAGGCACAAACTCATCTTCAGATGGCTTTGGAGACAATAAAGCCGACTCCATCTGGGCTACCGTTTCCCCCCTTCTCTTTCCCTTTCCTTTAGATGTAAGACAAGTCCCTCTTTCCCTGTCCCTCCCCGTTAAAAATACACCATCTCCCATTGTTCTGGTTTCGACAAGAACGTCGTCGACTCACAGGCAGGCAAGAGCCATATAAAAAATCCAAGAAATGAAACTACAAGATGGGTTGAGTGGTTCAAGCGGAGATTGCTGAATTGTGGGTAATCAAATTGTAAGCACCAGTTTTACGTTAAGGTTTGTTTGTTTTATTTTCGCATGTGTTGTTGAATCTTTGATTTTTTTTTTTTTATTTATTTTTTTTTTTTTTGGCAACTCTGCCAAAGACTTCACGGGCGTCATTCCTCTTTCTGCTCCCAGTGAGGCCCAGAGGAAGAGTGCCCAGCGTGTCAGTCCTTTACTGCTCTTCACCGGCATTTTTCTTTTTCAGCAAATCTATACTGTAGACGCATATAGATATGGAGAGATTTTTTTTTTTTCCGTTGCTTTGTTTTACACCTGGTTGTCCTTCCGTATTCTGGAAAAAACCATGACAGGACACAGGAGTAACAAGAGAAAGCTTCTTGTCAGAGCTTCAAGACGAAGACGAACAAACAGGAGAACTCCAGCTCGAAGGTGAATGCTACAGGGGAGGTTCTTCTTCCATGGGTTCATCGTCGGGTCTGAGCGATTTCACAGAGAGGCGGGATGGGAAGGGAGGGGAGAGAGAAAAGAGGGTTGAGCGTGACAGGGTCGGACAATCTAAGCCCTACGTTCCCATCACCTTCCCACCCAGGCCGTTGTGCACAGCTGGCCCACCCGGAATTAAAACTTGCCACCAAGAAGGGTTTTTAGCCAATCTGTTCTCACTTGGGCGATGTTAATGTTTTGGCTTTTTTTTTTTGCAGCAAAATCAAACGGTCCGAACCGCTGTTTGGCTCCGGTTGGAGCAGCAGGGTCAGGCACGGCGTGCACCGTACTTCCCGGCCCCGCCGCTCTCCAGGAGACCTTCAGAGAACCCCCCCGGGGGGGGACGGGAGGTGCCGCGGGTAACAGGAGAGGATTAACCCCCCCGGCTGGCCCACCACGGCCCGCGCAGGCTCCGAGACGTGGTGACGAACGGGGAGGGGAAGCAGCTCACCTCTTCTCGGCCGGCTTCACGCCCACTGACAGAGACGCCATGGCCGTTACCGTCTCCGCCTCCTCGTTCTCGCACTTCTGAGCCTCGACCAGGGAGTACCCCACCGTGGAGGAGCAACGCTGGAGTGAATGCCAGTACTTGCCTGGGGCAGAGGTGAGGAGAGAGGCAGTCAGGCCACCCGCGCCCTCAGGGGTCCGGCACCGCAATCCCGGGCCCGCCGAGAGCTGCCCGGGGAAAGGCTCATCGCTCCGCTGCGAAATGCAACCGCGAACCCGGGCTCGCTCGGCTTCCAGGGCCGCCTGGAGGGCCCGGGAAGCTGCGGGTGGAAGCGGGTCCCTGGGAAGGACGTGGCACGGAGGCCCGGCTTGCCAGGCGAGGCCGGAGAGCCCCCGCGCGCCAGGGCCTACGGGACAAGCGGAGGAGTGTTGGAGAATGGCTCAGAGACGAGGGACCTGTGCCTTTAGCCAGTAGATTGTAGGCCTGCATGCCTGAGCTGTGCCTTGTCACCTATTAAGAAAATCTTTGAATGAACGTTGGTGCAGGCTCTGCTCGTACAAAAAGAAAAAGGGGGAATTGTTGGAGAATGGCTCCGAGACAAGGGACCTGTGCCTTTAGCCAGTAGATTGTAAGCCTGCATGCCCGAGTTGTGCCTTGTCATGTATTAAGAAAATCTTTGAAGGAACGTTGGCGCAGGCTCTGATCGTACAAAAAGGGGGAATTGTTGGAGAATGGCTCAGAGACAAGGGTCCTGAGCCCACCGAGCAATTGTATGATCAGAGCCAGCTCTAGCTGCTGATGCTGGGCCTCACTAGGGTTTGCCTGCAGCTGCTCGCAGCTGCTGATACAGGAGGAATGTCAAGGACGCTTCAGCCCTGTGTACCGTGGTGTGTCGAAAACAGGTTAAGGGGGATTAGGAATAGTGGTCTGAGAAACCCAGTGTTATGGTAACGGTGGTCTGAGAAACATTGTGTGACGGTACTGTCGTGTATCGAAAACAAGTCAAGAGGAATTAGAAATAGTAGCATGAGAAACTTAGTGTTATGAGAAGCTTGTGCTGTAAGCTAACTGCAAGTAGGTGGACCGTGCGAATACGACCTTTAGAGCTTAAGCCAATCAGCTAGTGACTAGTAGGCATAATAATTATCATTGTCTGTATAAATATATGTACCCTGGACCAATAAACACACACGTTGATTGATGCTCTATCACCCACACTGAACCCGTCTCGGCGTGTCGCTCGTCCGCGGCTCCACAGAGGAGCTGCTGCGTCTTTGGTTTTAAAGCCCAAGGGCGTGGATAAACGCGCACCTGGGGACGCCCAGGATGGCAAAGCAGGGCTGACTCACTGCCTGGCACCGAAAGATGCTCCTCTCCCCTGGCTTGGGAAGAAAGGCGGGAGGTGGAAACTGGATTTTCAAAAGGACAAATGGTGGTGGGAGTGGGGATCCGCGCTGCACAGAGGTGTACGGCACCCCTCCGCCTTAACGGGAGGGGGCACTTAGGCGCTCAAAAATGGATGACGTTCCCTTTTTCACTTCAAAACCCTCGGAAACTTTTAGAGCTCAGGAGAAATACGCAAGAGGGAAGGATGTAGCCCAGATTTGGACGGCATTCAATTCCTAACTGCCACGTTCTTGCTAAGCTTTTGTGGGCAAATCCCCTGCGACTAAAGAAGACAGTCTAAAGTTGTATCTGTTTTTTACGTCTGCAGTCTGCCAGGATAAACACCCTTTTTCAGCGGAAAGAGCACAGGGAAGGCTTCAGAGGGAGAGAATAATGGCTGTTCTCTCGGCCCCCAGGCAGGACACACCGAATTCGCTGGTACCCAAGAAGCCACAGCAAAGCCTGAAAGCAAGAACCCGTACAGTGAGGTCACAGCAGGTGGGGAGGAGGAATTTGTTTCCAAACATCTTCGCTTCTTCTGCGCTGGGCAGCAGATCTGAGGGTCTTACTCTAAGTCCCTTTTAATTTGCTGAGCTCATTTCAAGGAAAAAAAAAAAAAAAAAAAAATCACTCTTGAGGTGCTGCTGAGATGTCCCGTTGGTGCTGAGCACTCACTCTGCAGAGCAGCTTCTGGAAACGGAATTCATATTCCTAAAGACACCAGGCATTTTTCAGGGTTAAAAAAATATAAGGCTTTGGTGTCTTTTACGCTCTGTTTTCGCCCTATAAAAGGGAGACTAGCCCCCTCCAGTTTTAGACCACAAATGTTTGAAGTGGGAAGATGTCAGGAGATAGTGGTGGGATTCTCATGTTACTCGGGATCTTTCCCTCCATCCCCCAAGAATGTCCCCGGGAAAGCTTCAACTACAAAGATTTTAACCTCCCCAGCTAAACAAATCTACAAAGTTATGAACTTCATGCAGTACTCTCTTTAACTTTCATCCCTACCCATTCTTAATTAAGGGGTGCCACAACACCCAGCGAGATTTATGTTATTTGGAGATACCTGACTCGCTTTTGAAGGTACAAGGGCACACTTTAAGAGCAGAATAGCCTGTCCTTTACGGAGATTTGAGAGATTTTCATAAGAATTCCTCCTCAAGCGCCCAGGCGTCTCCCTGAATGGATGGCTCTCAGCGCACCGCTCGGTCCCCGCACAGCAGGACCAGTTTGGGGCCGCACAAATCCAGTTCACAGCGCAGCCACCGCCTGGAAACTCGGGCGAGGGGCCACGGAGCTGCCAGGATGGCGGAGAATTCAAAGGGGTGTCCCACAGGGCAACCCGCCAGGGAACCTGCTGGGTGAACACGGGACTATACTCACTGTGTATCTCGATTACTTTCTCCATTGAGTGCACCGCATTCGCGTTCGCTCTCTGCTGGAAAACCTTTTCTGGAAGAGGGTCAAGCTGGAAAGAGAGAGGAACACCGACGAAACGTCATCTCAAGTTAGAGACCGGGCATTAAGCGCAATTTAGCAAAAGGCTCTGCTGTGTGAAGCCCCCGCTCCCCTGGTTCCTATCATCTGCCTTTAGTTAAACATCCAAAATATACAGACTCTCGAAGAGCTCTCGGGGTACTCAGTGCAGCCCCCTCCAGCCTGACGCTCCTCCCCGCACGAAATGCCGCGGCTCCGCCGGGCTCCGCAGCCGCGCAGCGCAGGGGCTGCGCCGAACGAGCCGGCTGCAGCCGAAGAGACGCTCTTACGCGGACCAGAGAAATACAGCAAGCGACGCCGGCTGCTTTTACAGAGCATCTTTTTAAAACGATAGCTCAGACCTGCCTTTCTGCAAAGTTTTCGCTAGTAAAACCAAACAACGTGCAAATAAAAGGGACTTAAAAATACGGTAACAGCCACGCTCCTGGTTTTCCTCTAAAGAAATAAAAGGGGTAGCTTCTTCATTCTTCTAAATACCTAATCTAGTGTATTCATTAGCTCTTAACTGAAAAAATCTGTACCCTAAGAGCAAATACCCTAATTTTGGTACAGAGAAACAGCAAAATACTGCTTTAAAGACACACTCAGCATGACTATAACTTCAGTCACAATCGATGCCTCTTACCAGCTGCTGGGCTAGTCTTGTCAGGGCAGAGTAGCATTAGATCTGTATGTTAATCTATAAAAAAAATTTGGCTTGAAGTTACCGGTCAGGCTCATAATTGGGTATTAAAATTTAAGTTTTCTGATGCTGGCTTCTTTCCTTTGCTCTTTATATAAAAAGCTTGACAGCAAGAACATGCTGCTGGTATTGAGACTTTAAGTTGAAAGATGACACAGAAAGCCTCCCCAGAAACGTTCCATGTAAATGCACGTAACAAGCAGGTATCTTTCTGGGCTCGGCTGCTTTTATGCTGTAAATGCAAATGGCACCTAGACGATTTCTGGTTTGCTCTAACATCCGTCCCACCCTCAAAAAAGCAGTGCTGCCTTTGCTACCAAATGTTGGAAAAAAAAAAAAAACAACCCAACATATCAAAACACTAATAGCAATGTGGGAAAAAAAAAAAAAACAAAACAAAACATATCAAAAGCACTAATAATAATTTACGTAATAAGGAACATGGGACAATAAGAGTATCTTCATTTTGCTAGAGTCACCAGCTAGGAAATGTCACTCTAAAGAAGCTTCTCTGAGCCCTTTTCCCATTGCTCCTCTAGGTCCATCTCCAGTTACGCTGGAGCAAAGCTTTGAGGTGCAGATCCACCTGTAAGAGCCTCGACGTGAAACCCACCCAGGCAGAACGACGCTGACGGAGGTGCCTTGCAGGGCCAAGTGCTGGTTTGGACGCGGTTCCCACCGGCAAACCCACGCTGCCTCCAGGATAGACTACTCCAGCCCGTGGCTGTGAAATAAGCTGTCCCAGCAAGGAGGTGGTTTTGCCACCAGAGCTACACCTCTGTTAGAGGTCTCGGCCACCCCGGCTGTCCCCACCAGGGAGCACGCACCTCTGCCGACTCAGCGGCGCTGGCTAGCAGGGGGAGCGTAGACCCCCGGACACCAGGCTTTGATCAGCACAGCTGTTTCAAATAAAGAAAGAAAATCGCTCCTAAATCCAGAGCGCTCAAGAGCAAAAAGCTTCTGCAGACCTGAGACCTGCTGTACAGAAAAACTGAAGTCTGAACTAGGTGCGCAGACCGCTCGTTTTCGGATAGGAGCTCTCCTACCGCCCAGGAGAGAGCTGCCCTTTCAGTCTGAGGTCAGGACGTTACAGAACTACCAGGGGACCCAGTTCACCTTTGCAGCAGCACGGACAAACGCACCTACGGTGACCGGTGGACAGTAACTCCAGAGCTCCCTTCAGCAACGAAGGACATCGCTTTTCCCATTTCTTTTTAGAGGAATGAAAACACTCCGGCAGCCAAGGCAGGAGAAAGGAGTGAGAATGAGAAAAGGGGGAGAGCAAGAGAAATGTCCTCTCCTTGCTTGACAGCATTTCCTCCTACTTTCTAGGAGATATTTTCCTCTTGCCTGATAGAAAGCTCTGCCTGTATCCATCCCAGCCCCAGCAGCCTTTGGTTGGTACAGAAAAAGAGAAATTAGATCAACACCCTGAAAACTGCAGCCGCCTTTGTGTTTTTTTTTTTTTTTTTCCTGCTTGTTTGGAGGGTGGGTGTTGCAGAGCATCGAGCCAGGGCTCTTCTGGTGATAGAAAACATCAGTAAAGACAATGAGCCTCCAACACCCTCCTCCGTCAAGGCCCTGGGGACGCACCCCTGGCAAAGTCTGTTCTGCAGCGGGAGCATGCGTGTCCCCTCCTAGAAAAGGCCCCCGACAGCACTGCCAGAGGGTTCTTTTAGCTTTCCTTTAACAGATAAACCCCAGAAGAGACGGACAACTTCTTCGATTGGGTTACTTCTCTCCCCTTGAGATGTCTGTGTTCTAGAAAGCTCAAGCTGTCCCTTTTGTCCTTTGTGAAGTTGTTAAACCTTTTATTGTAGCTACGATGCTTGCTTCAACTCCCACTGGGCAAGAAACCTGGGCTCAAATAAAACTAACCCACAGCTATTACTAGTGTATACCTGCAGCACAGAACTTCCAATTTATTATTATTATTATCAGAAATCATAAGTATTATATATTTATATGTTATCATGAATGATAATGATAATAATGCAAAATTATATTAAAAGGTCTTCCAAGGGAAGGAGATGGGGTTATTTGCTTTCAAACAGATGTCACTGGGAGAATAACGGCTTCCTCTGGCACAGCAGGGGCCTCTGTGCGGTAGGTAAGGATGCCCCAGCAGAGCACCTCTACTTGGCTCACATACATGGCCAATGGCTTGGATTAGACTCACAAGAGCTCATGACATCTCCCAATCAGCTAAATACTCAAGAAAAAACTTTCAGCAGATCTGATGCTCTCCAAACCCGTATTTCTTTCTTCCTTCCTTCCTTTCTCTTTTTCTTTCTTCCCTTTTTCTGTTTCTTCCTTCTTCTTTTTCTTCCTTTCTTTTTCTTCCTTCCATTTTTTATTTCCTCTCTTTGTCTTCCTTTTTTCTTTTTCTTTTCCTTTTCTTCCCTCCCTCCCTCCTTCCCTCCCTCCCTCCCTCCCTCCCTCCCTCCCTCCCTCCCTCCCTCCCTCCCTCCCTCCCTCCCTCCCTCCCTCCCTCCCTTCCTTCCTTCCTTCCTTCCTTCCTTCCTTCCTTCCTTCCTTCCTTCCTTCCTTCCTTCCTTCCTTCCTTCCTTCCTTCCTTCCTTCCTTCCTTCCTTCCTTCCTTCCTTCCTTCCTTCCTTCCTTCCTTCCTTCCTTCCTTCCTTCCTTCCTTCCTTCCTTCCTTCCTTCCTTCCTTCCTTCCTGCCTTCCTTCCTTCCTGCCTTCCTGCCTTCCTGCCTTCCTTCCTGCCTTCCTTCCTGCCTTCCTTCCTGCCTTCCTTCCTTCCTTCCTTTCCTTCCTTCCTTCCTTTCTTTTTGTTTCTCTTTCTCTCCCTCTTTCTCTCTTCCTTCCTTCCTTTCTTTCTTCCCTTTCTTTCTTTCCCTCCTTTCTTTCATTTCTTCTCCTTCCTGCCTCCAGTTCTCCATTAAGAACATGAATTTCTCACAGACCTCCAAGGTCGGGTATCCACAGCTGTTAACTGTGTCTGAAAAGAGTGGTCAAGGCCCAACCAGGGATATTCCCCAGCAAAGAAGCAGACACGGCTTAATACTTAAAAAAGACTCTACAGCAAAGTTTGACTGTAACTTCTGTTCAAAGCCAAGAGAAGCTCCAGCCAAGAGATCTGCTCTTGTGACCACATGGCAGCCATTCGATAGGTGCTTCATGAGGACTTGAAATTGCTCCATTCCAGATTTAATAATTAAGGACAGCACTTTTTATAAATTCTCCACTCTAAAAATAATTCTGGCCCAAACTGGTTTCTGCGTGACATTAAGTGAAGGCAAAAGCAATCCCTGGACAAATCTCTAAGAAAGAGCTTTCTAACGCCTCTTGGTTGATACTGATATAAAGCACACAACATCAGGCAGCCTGGCCACACGTGTGAATCGTTTCCACAGCATGCTCCTCCTCCTGAAAGAACACTCACAGCCAACAGCCTCACCCACCGCTCTCTCCTGGAAAAAGAAGGAAAAACCTCCGGGCATTAGGCAAAAGTTTGAAGCAACTGCTTACTATCACCTTCTTGCTCGTTCGGGATGTCTGGGGTCCGACACTGGACACACCGCTGCTGCTGCCTCTGCGTGAAAAACAACCAGGCATTGGTAGCAGCGACAGGCAGCACTGTGAGTGCTGCTGAGCTCCAGGACCATGCTCCCTGCCACGTGCCTCCACGCTCGTGCACCCCCAGCACGCATCTCGTGCCTCTCTCCCCGCCACCAGCAGCTCCCAGGACCCTGGAGCTCCACGCCCTGCCGCAGGCGTGGGGCTGGCATGAGTCCTAGCCTGGGGCACCGAACGCTATGGATGCCCTGGAGCTTAAATTGCAGCTGCTGTCAGAGGCTGCTCTGAGTAATGGGAGAGGAACAGGGGCTTACTGCTCTAAATCACCATCAGCGGATCTTCCCCGCATCACGTCCACCTCTGATTTTTCAACTGAAGCCGTGCTGGTTTTGCACAACTAAATTTTTAACTAAAGCAGTGCACGCACATTTTCAAGCAACCTCGCCCGGCACGAACTCATTTCACATTAAAATAACCTGCTGCAAAGCTAAAGCTCTGTTTTAATTTCCTGGGCAGTTGGGAACAAGCCGGCTCTTGCCTTTGCGTAACGCTTTTTCCGAGGCGGGAGTTTTGATCTCGGCCGGTGAACGCAGACGCTTCGGGGACTGGCACCGTTCCCCTCATTTCCTACCACTTCCCCGTGCAACTCGGCTCTTCAGCCAGCGCAGCTCCCCGCAGCCCGCAGCTGCCTGTCCATGTGCACGCATGCAAAATCGTCTAACACGCTGTATATCAAACTTCATCAAAGGGCCGCGGGACAAAGCAACGGCAGTTGCCTCCAACTTCCTTGCATTAAAAAGATTTTATAAAAGACCTTGATAAAACCAGCGTTTCCTGCTTTTTGATGTGCGGGTAAGTCGGGGAACATTATCACGATATCTGTGCAGCCTTACAGCCCACCTAGGGAAAGTGAGAACAGGTCCATCTTTAAGTATTTTAAAGCGCCTTATAGCCGTCCTGATTCAGTGATTAAAAACAAAAAAATTAATGTTTTTTTTTACCTTCAAGGATCAATATCCACTCTGCTAAATGAAACCACTCAGGCAGTTGACAACATCCAAGCTATTGTGAGTGCTGAGGTCTCCCCAAAGCCTTGCACTCCCAAACACGTTCGTGGCTTGGATCACGCGCTTCTTTATTGCACGCAGATCCTCACACCACATTGCAGTCACCCGCCTGCGCCGTAGGAGCACGTTAAGCAAGAGGAATGTCATCCTTTCACACGTTATTTCCTCTGTCTCCCTTTCAAAGTGGACCCTGCCATTAGATCCAGCTGCACCCAAAGGTGGACGGAGGTAGAGGGGTTGTCTGTGGTGACAACAGTGCCATCAGCTGTCGGCTTAAGAGAGATGGGTGCTGCAATAAAACCTCCCCTGCTTCCAGGCTGACACAGCAACCTGCCTCCCGAGTTTTCAGCTGTCCCGAGGGCTGAGCACAGGCTGGTGTGCTGGACCAGTTACCCATGCTGAGAGCCTTATCAGAACTGCCTGGCCAAGCACAAGGAGCAGATGCTCTCTGGACGCTTGGAGGTGGGATGCTGGATGAGTGAAGCAGATGCTTTTGATGAATCCCAGCTGTTTTATCTCTTGGACTGATTAGCGAGGGTTCCCCAGGCACCGTTGGCCTTCACGCGGAGTGTGGCCACTACAAGACAGAGCACTCCTAGAACAGGCTGGAAGTCAAACATAGCTGATCTGCACCTCCACGCAGATCCAAGCCCCCTGCTCCAACTCCCCAGACCTGCGAGAGGCCGGTGGCCATTGAACCGCAACCGCGAGCCAGACCGAGTCCGCTCGTGGCAGCCTGTCACCATCCCCAGAAGTCAGCTCCCACCGGAGGCCGACCCGGAGCTGAGATACTGCTTGGCTTCTCCCCTCTGTGGTGCTGCACCTTCAGGTGCTGACCTAAGGGGTTCTTCAGCCAAGGGTGGTGATCAGACACCCTGGTTGTGCTCCCCAGGGCAGGTGAAAGCTTGAGGAGGAACCTCCTTTCTTTCACCATTGGAGAGGCAGGCGGATGTCCGAGACCACCTGCCTTCAGAGGTCATCTCAGCAGCCTCCTCGTGTCCTGTTACTCTTATCGTGGCCTTTTGAGATCTGCTCGTTTCCACAAGGTACTGAGGGCAATCTCTTAATTAAAGAGGCAGCCTGAAAAAAAGATTCAACCACACTAGCCAAGCCATTAACGCTGCCGGAAGGTTTCGCAGCCACCTCCAGCTTCAAATCACTGTGGCTGCTCTTCCCCAAGGTTGAAATTTTCAGTTACGTGTAGCCTAAGGAATCACACTGCGCTGTTGTTTTAACTCGTGCTATCAATCCTCAATGGCTGTTCTGAACAGCTCCAGAGCCCCCGCTATCCCCGGGCACCCGCAGCAGATACCAAGCGAGGACCTGGGGCTGCAGGCTGAGCAAGCACTTGCTTCTCTGAGCGAGGTGGAAAATTGGTGGAAGGCACTTTTGCAGTCTACCGTGCCCGCCCATGACTCAACCATTTGGACTTGTATGCAGAGAACAGGTGTCCAAAAAAGACCAGTGAACCAGGAGGGAGGCTTGACCCGAACTAACCAGTTACTCGTACTCAAAAGCCCACAAATTACACAGAAATAGACTTTTTGAACAGAAGTGTATGCAAAGGTACAGAAACAGCAGATGCCCAAGAGCCCCAGTCTGGGATTTCAGTGCCGATAATTGATTTTTGTCTTTCCTTGCTGCCCTGAACTCCCTGAGCCCAAAGACATGTCAAATGTCACCACTCCAAACCTCAGTTACCAGCCACGTTGGAAGACACGTAGGTGTGAGCTGCTCATTCGGTGCCAGCTACAGCGGTTGCTGGTAGCCAGGCTGTGCCAAGGGGGATGGGCACGGGGAATCTGAATCATTTCTTCCCTAATCCCACTGACACTAAAAGTGTGTGTGTGGAGGGGGGGGAAAGGCAGAAAAGATAAGTATCTAAAGTTTCCTCTGTAGGAAAACACGCTGACCTCCCCAGGACCCAAACCCTAGATTTCCTCGGTCTTGCTCTTATCTTGCAATCACGCACCCTGGCCTTCCTGGCCAACTTCTGTGACCCAGCTGAGGCTTTTCCAACACAGCAATGTGCAGAAGATAGAAAATGTAACATCAAGGACAAAAACACAATTGAAACCAATGTCAAGCAAGCTGCCCAGCGCAGCAGGCACAGGCTGTACTACTAGAGAGGGGGTCTGCAAAGAGAAGGGAAGGCTTGGACAGTGACTTGAGAAAGAAATTAAACTAGTTATTTTCCAAAAAGCACAAAGCAAACTATCTGGATGAGGAGTGAGCCCAAATTCAACTCTTAGCTGTTTCAATCCTTATAATATGGGTTGCAAAACACAGGTAGTTTTTGAACAAATGAAGCCTGCACTCTTTAACCCCACATGTGTCAAAAGGACCCAAACCAATGACAACAATTCAGCGGATTGACTGTTCCTGGAGGATGGGCTGCCCAAATTCCAGGGGGGTCGGAGGTGGCGGCCCCTGGTTCGGCCTGTCTCCGTACCTCGTTTCCCAGCAAAGCAGAAACACACGCTTCCGAGGCATCGCAAATGGCAGTCAGGTCGTGGCCTCCTTCGAGGGCCAGGACGACGCGACCCCCGGCCAGGCCCATCAGCTGCTTCGTCAGGTACCCGAAGCCTGTAACGAGGGAAAAGAGGAAATGCAGGAGAAGGGCAAAGGTGGCGGCTGGAATCAGGCTCCTGGCTAGGGATCAAAGAATTACAGAAAGGAATTACATCATATTAAAAAACCACAAGGGATCTGAAAGGACTCAGCGCATAATACAAGCCAGGTTGGATTTTAATACGCTTGCTGCAGAATTCCAGCCGCGGCTCCCCGCCGTGTGTGCCGCGGGATGGACCCCTGCCTCCCCCACCAGTGCTGCGCTGGAGTTTATCCCAGGTGAGAGGCACCGTCACCCTCCCTGCCACCTTTCAGCCGAATGAAATACAGCGGTTGACTATCTCCTTTGCAAGGAAGGAAAGAGGGTGGAAGGAGGCGGCTTTTTGCCCTGCTTTGGAAGATGCAAAGCCAGAGCAGTCATGGGGGAGGGAGGAGGGGAAGGGGAAATCAGTAAAATTGCTGCCGGTGCTTTCAGTTGTGATAGCAGCATCGCAGTGCCCCAGAGATATCTGACATTTAGTTCTTAGCAGACGTTTCTTCCCGTATATAATATGCTATAAAAATTCCTGGGGCACCCAGGACTTTGATCATACGACACACAATACATTTCTACCCTTTAAACAAAACAGAAGCAAGCTGCGAGGATTTGAAGAACGTGTCCTCAAAGCAACCTTCCCCCTCCAAAAAAAAAATATAAATTCAAACAAAAGAAAATCCAGGGCATTTCCACCCTCCATCCACGCTCCCTGGTTTCTGTTTTGCAGTGACTCCCGCAAGCGCCTTTGCAAATTGGAAAATTAACAGCCAGATAAAAAGTTTCATGGCTGAGCCCATAACTGTTTTGTGAGAGTAAGAGAGCATGGGAAATTCAACAAGCAGGTAAACAAGACCTTTTCATTACAAAGTGTTTCTGGATATCTTAAATAACTTGTCTCTTGTAAATCTATTTCACTTTATTCTTACATAAATTTTATAGGTTCAGCTACCTTACAAGGTTCTGAAGTTCACTGAAGAGAATCAGTTTCCTGGCTGAAAAAAACTCTTAAAAAAAAATAATAAAATCCTTTTGCAAGAAAAACTGTCTTCTCAATTGACTTGAACGAAACAGTGCCAGATAAACCCAGCACAGCCAAGGTGGTGGTGGGGGATTTCAGTGCATCTCCTGTGCAATGCAAAACATCACGGATGCAAAGCAAAACCGAGGTTCCTGTGGGCCCGTATAATTGCTTCAGAGGAGGACAACAGAAATACTCAGCTCACATTCTGAATAAGGTATCCCGGAGGAAGAAATGGACTTCAAGTAGCATTCAGAGCAAGGTACACTGTCTATACGTGGCATTGCCCCTTTCTGCCATTTTGCATTAAAGCGGGTATAATTCTTCAATTTGGCAGCCGTCTTCTGCCGAGATGTGACTCCAAACGAATTGGTAACTTCCTTACATAATTTATTTGCACTTGGAATTGAAATACGCAATGCTTCAAGAAAATGAAGAGACTTCAGCCAGGCCAAAATATATATGGTGCACATGAAAATTCAAAGAAAAAGGCCATTGAAATGAAAGACCTGAAGATAGACCTCAAAACGTAAAATCTGCAAATACTGTACTTTAGTCCCTAGGACAGCAGCAGCTTAGACTAGTTTTGGATCTCTGCTCTTGTAAATCCACAACTTACATTTTGCTGACAGATTGTATCCTCCAAGAGGTGTGGGATGGCCTTCCACCGCATCGAAACCAGACGACACCAGCACAACATCTGGGGCAAATTCATTGGCAATGGGCATTACTACCGTTCTGCAACAAAAATTGAACAATGGCAGATATGTTACTTTGGCCCTTAAGGAACACAGAAACACTTAAACCATCCTGAACAAACACATTACAAACCCCTGTACTCTTATTCCATGGTAGCGAAGCCCACCTCCTATTTTCCTACAAGGTGAGAGCCTGGCTGGCTGAACACCCTTGCACCGCCACGCAGTGCAGTTTTAAAGTGAAGTTCATGTTAGCTTTTTCAGTGAGGTCTATTATTTCCTCCAACAACAGCCTCACCTTTTGACCAGGGAGATAAGTTGTCGTACGTTGTGTTCCCCACGTGTGATCATATCTTGGCTGTACATACACAGCGTGAGAGGATAATGAGAAAATAAGAGGGCACAGGCTGCAAAAACCACCTGGCAAACCTGTCTGGTGGCAACCTCGGTTTGTGGCACTTGTCTCCACGCCCTCCTTCAAAACAGCTTCTTTAGGCTTTGCAGAAACTGCAAAGCTATTTTTTTTTTCCTTGCTGAACTTCTCATTGACCACAGTGAAAGGCTGGGGATGTCACATGGGGCAAAAAGCTTTGACGTGCAAATATCCCACCTACTCTCCAAACTCTGGTTCACCATCCTCTGCCATTTTGTTCGTTAAAAAAATGGAGCGAATTGCTTAACATCCATAAACTACTGCCTGTTAAGGTCGGTAGTTAAGTGAAATAAGAGGTCCGTGGCTGTGGATGGACCCTTCTCAGCAAAAGGCCTTTTCCCTCTGATTTCTTTCTTTAATCCACACAGCTTCTGCTCTAGATCTACACGAGGTTGCACACAACCCACTTCCCATATCAAGGCGCCAATTAAGCAAAACTGGAAAGTTGAGCAAGAGAGCGAGTAGTTGCTGCTTCGTCTAACAGCTCCGGCACAAACGTGGCAGAAATGAAATTACAGCAAGGAAAGAAGTCAAAGCAATGGCGCTTCGTAAAAAACACGATGCAGACACCCACAATCTCTTCTGACTGAGAAAGCCCATCGCAAGCACACTTGGATGGACACCTTCTCGTGGCTTTGGTTCACACCAGGGTACCCCTGTGAACGGGCTTGAAAGCTGTTTGGAATTTTTCGATTGGGCACCGATAACTGCGGGAAATGGTGGAAAAGCAAGGATGTGCACAGAGGGTTGCCGTTTATCTGGAGTAGTATTTTCTAAATTATGTTATTTTTCCATTGAACAGGTACCCACTGAATCTTGGATGTATCCCTAGGGCAACCTGACCAATGCCATCCCTTGCTGGTACTGAAGATGACAGTATTTCCCTGTTTCCTCATCCTGGGAAACGGCAAGGTTAACTTCTTAAATCATGAACCGAAGTTATTCATATACTAAAGCATGAATCTGTAAACAGCTTTGTGTACACAGGAACTTCACTTTTATCTTTTATTGAATACAGTTGTTATGTGATGCTCCGAAAACCAGAAAGATCCTAGAAAGGTCTGTTTAGTGCTGAGATCGCTCAAGTGCCATCAAGACATCCATAAAAATTCACATTCTCTTGCCACACTGATGCCCAACAGGCACAAGACACCTTCTAGCGTCAGCAACTCATATTAGCCCCAACACTGACCTGAGCTCATGAGCTCATGCCATTTTGCCCTCCGCAGAGTTTATTTTTAATGGAGTATTAACATCTACCACACAATGAGCTACTTCCAGCGCTGGTCAAACACATTAAGTAGTTTCCACTGCCACCACTGAGCAGAGTCCCTGCAGGCACAGACACCGTGCACACCGCAGGTCTGGTCAAGGCATGCAGACCTCATATAGTCCAAAAAAAAAAAAGCCTTCTAGCCTTAATTTTTTTTGCCAGCTAATTGCCACAGTAACCTAATGGCCTCTTGCAATCTCCCCACCTTCCAGTCCCTGCACACAGACACTGAAACCCATGCAAAAGGGATCTTATTTTCCTGTGATTCTTACAAAAGCCAAATGAGGAATTTTAATTTTTTCCTCAAACGACGCAATTGCTGTATACATTCTGTCCTCAGGGAGATGATTACATGAGGAAGACAAAATAGCACAGTTTTTGCTGATGACTTTACAGCGGACAAAAATCTGTTTAGTGAAACCCACAGACATTTTAAGTAGAAACCACCTCCTTCACAAAGGACTAAAGCAGCAGTTTCGAAGCAAGTGCATGTGGCAGAGGGGTTTTTTTGTGTTTTTTTTTTTGTGTTTTGTTTTTGTTTTGTTTTGTTTTTTTTTTTTTTCCCCCGAGCTTTGAAATTCTGCTGGGCTCTTTAATTTCTAACTGAAGGAAAACTGCTCAAATCATCAGATTCCCCTCCGCCCCTAAAAAAAAATAGTTATGGTACCGCGGTAGCTGCTAGTACCTCAACTGACGTGCGGGATCACCAGAAGCTGGTTGCAGAGCAAGCCCGACCCTGCACCCCCGCACCGGGAGCATGGTCTGTCAGCACCCAGCAAACCCACACAACCCTGCCTCGATTTTCTCAGCCATGGGACGGCTCGTCCGCCGATGCCCGAGAAGCCGGGCAGCCGCCGAGGAACCGGCGAGCAGCGCGAGGGTGGGGGTCCCCGGGCGGCGATGGCAGCTCCGAGATACCCTCTAGTGGCACAGCCACCGCACAGGCAGCACCGAGAGGCAGCCCGGAGCCCGGTCTGTATAAATTTTAGGAGAGAAAAAAAGCAGCGACTGCCGGTTAAAAGTAAATCAATCGGTAGCTGACAATAGTTAGAAGAAGCCGTTTTGAGGATGTCCAGAGTTTTCTCCGGCGCAGGGCAGGGTGACCTTACAGCCGCAGCTGGATACCTCGAGCAAGCACCTTCGACTCTTGAGCAATTATTAGTGGTGCTCTGTGTGCACAGTAAAGTTTTGTCAGGTCCCTCCGAGTTTTAAGAACCGTGTGTCACAAGTGCCCTGGCTCCCCCGTCCAAGAGGAGCCAGGACGGGTGCTGCCCGCCCCGGAGGGAGCCGTGCGGGCGCAGGGGCCGCCGGAGGAGAATTGCCAGATGGCAGGGTGTCAGCATAAATAACATCGTGATGCTGTCGGTACCCTGACCATCACGGTCCCATCCAAACTCAAGAGCGCTCTCAAATCCAGATCTGAACCCTCTCCTTCACCTGTGACTCCTACCCAAACTCTCACGGGCTGCTCTTGCTTCTGACCTTCTCCCAAATCCAGTATTACACCAAAGCTGCAGTCCCAGCTCCGATGCTCATCATGTACGTGAGCAGCTATATCTTTGGCCATAAAACTTCACCCAGGAGTCCTCCTGCCTCTCAGCACTCCCTCCCTTGTTTTTCTTTTTCAACTGTAAACAAAACAAAACAAAAGACATACACGTGAAAACGTATGACGCAAGCAAATGAACTGCTTTCAAATGCTGTATTTCTGAGATTTCATCTGTGGGCAGTGTTTTGGGCACATCTAACCCACTCTTTTGGTTTTTAATTTTTCTTGTGCACAGATGAAAACAGCCCCTTTGCTCAGATCCCTCACTGTAAAGAGAAAGCAACAATTAAACTGAAAACAAAGCTATGGCTGTTTCCTAGTGTTGATACTATAAACAAGCCAGAAATTAAAATTACTATCAAGAAGGTGAGCAGTTTTGTCTGGAACTGAGTCTTTTAACTAATGGCTAACGTGGCTGCAGAGTTATTCACCAAGGAATGAAAGTGTTTGTAACACTGAATATTCATTCAAGCCACATAGAATTTTTTAAAATACAAGGGTTACCTTCAGATTTCTTAAATTTTAGAGGGTTGTTTTGCTTGCTTAAAGTAAATCCTTTCACAGCTAAGCTGAACAGCTATGCGTTAGTCAATACTGATGGCTGCAACGGTTGAAACTACTGATCATGTTCTGCAATCATCTGGGGAAGAGAGAAAAAACCCCCCAATTTTATATCTGTTTTCCAGAAGACTAAATAATCTTGAGTCTGTTACTAGCCAATTCACCAATTAAACGCCTGATAAATGACAGGCAGATTCAACAATCCCACCAAGGATTATTTGTTAAATGCTCAAGCGCAGTGAGCAAATCAATGAAACTTAGAAGGCTGAGCACTGTTTTCAGACTCTTTTTCCCACTGTTGGCCATATCTATATATCTATATATATCAAAATGTTATCTGCTGCTCCTAAGGCTAATCAGCCTCCTAAAGACTCTAGTCTTTGTTTCTCCAAGCAGCCATCTCCATGGTCATTTACTATGTCAAAAGGGATTAGGAATTTGGGGACGAAATCGGCGTCAGGAGAGCATGAAATCTAAAATACAGAAACAACCGTTCCAGGCAAAACATCATCATCTTCCCTCCCTCCCTCTTACTCACTCCTGAAATAGTTTATGGATTGAAGGAAAAAACAAAATCCCCCCTCCTCTCCAAACTGGCTCCTGAACTCATTTAACGCTTTCTGAGAAAGGCAGGAGGAGGAACCTTTCAAATACAGTCCTGGCTTTTGCTTCTGGTTTAGGTGTTTTAAATAAAAATAAAACTTACGTAGAATCGAGCTGTATATGGAATTGTAATTGTGGAGGAGACCTCAGGGTAGGGAAAAAATTGTATGAGGCAACACGGCTGCTAGAATCATCAGAAAAACTTTCTTACAGTAAATTCAGAGGAAAACTCCCGTGGATAACAGAATTTAATTTCACTAATTGCTGTTACTTATGTAATAAGGAACTAGTCACAGTCTTTGCATTTTTTCTGCAGGTCTCAATCTTAGCTGGGTTTGCACACTCTGCTTTTGAAAATGTCATGAGGATTTATAGAGGCAAACACAAATTCTGCTCTTGTATAACAAGTTAGGGAACAACAGACCCTGGTTAAAAAAAAAAAAAAAATAAAAAAAAAATACAAAAACCAAAAAACAAACCAAACCTGAATTTTACAACTGTTTGTTTCTATAACTACGGAATAACAGTGACGAATGCCAATAACATTTTGATGAGTTAAGGACTTTAAAATTATATGCCCTGCATTTTTCGCGTTAGGGTTTAATACATTTCTGCCTAATCTGTGAAATCTGTATTGCCCACATACTTGGGTGGTGAGTTCAGCCGTGGGACCTTCGCCCAACGAACGGTCAGCTAAATTATAATGTCATGCTGTCTCGGGCAGGCAGAGCCGCCGCTGCGATGGGGTGGAGGAGCGCCAAGCTCGCAGCAAGCTCCCCAAATCCCTCCTGCACATCTTGTTAGTGACGGGGGTGTCTCCACCCTGTGTGTCGGGTCTGTGGGGTGTGTGTGTGTGTGTGTGTGTGTCCCCCAAAAAAAAAATAAAATTACATCAATCATGATATCACCCCAACCTCGAGACGGGGCAGCTGGTGATTTCAGCCCCGGGTTATGAAGACAATAAGCGACAAAGTGCACGGCCGGGCTGCTCTCTGCTTTGCATTTTTAACTCTTGTTCTCACTTTTGAAATGGCTCGGCGGCATTAATAAATGTTAAGAGGTCAGGCTACCCCGTCCAACCCAACGCTGTACCGCAAGCCGGGGGAAGCCAGTCTTCGCAGAAGAAATTCCCGGTAGAAAAATCACTGATGCAAGTTCCCATCCTTTCTCTGGAAAGAGTAAAACGACACTGAAACAGGTTTTCAGTGCGCGGATGATAGGTTTCATTTGGATTTATTTATTCACTCACCAGAAGACTAATTTATGAGGACAATTATCTCAGTTATTATTTCATTAGAGCGCACGCTTTTATCAAAACCATATACAGCTCATCCTGAAACAGAAGACAAAAAAACCCGAAAAGCATGTTGCTTATTTTTCTTCCACTTGTTTTATGTAGAAAGAAGGCTTTCTTCCCTAAAAGCAGACAAGTATGTGAAGAGTTAAGGCTTAAAAAAAAAAAAAAAAAAAGAAGAAAAAGTATATCAGTATCTTTGCCTAGCTCAAAGGATTTCCACTGATTCCTCTACAGACTTCAAAGCCTCACAGTTTGGCATTTGGACTGGTTTGAATTAAAGCTCAGTTCTCCACTGTGAGTTTCCAAGTTCATGGTGAAAATGCCTGCTGCTTCTGGAGTTCATTATGGCCAATTTTCTTATCTTTTCTTCATCTTAGGTTTGATCCCCAGCAAATGCAATGTGGCATTCGATGGGGTGGAATAACAAGGTGCAGCCTTGAAGGCATGCATTGTCTCAAGGGGCTAGCGCAAGAAAAGAAGGAAAAAAAAAAAAAGGATATATGACCCATTCCCTTCACTTTCTAACTCTTGGGGGACTATAAATTGCAAACTTCAAAGCATTATTTTACATTAAAATCAATAGAAAGATTCAGAGGGAAAAAAAAATGTTTTTCAAAGAAGCTGGTTAAGATTTAAAAAGGTCACTTGACAATGTATTATCATGACCAAACTTGGCATAAGATTAAAAAAAAAAAAGCTTCCAATTTAACTTATTGACTGAAGGTGTGCACATGGGGCAGGCTACGGGAGGTGCTACCTAAAAGGACGAGTCACAACGTCCCTCAGCTTCCCAAAACCCTGGCAAACTAAGGACTGTGACTAGCTCCAAAATATGCTCCCCAAATAACTGCAATCTCCGGGCAAAAAGACACCCGTGCCTATTAAGGAATGGCTGGCAAAGGTCTTGCTGTGCAGACTGAGCAATTTTCCAGAAGCCTTGAAACTCAATTAATATTTAATAGCAAGTATGTCACTCTGTCATGAGCTATGGGTTCTCTTTATAATGAAGAGATCGGTCTTGTTGACTGCTGAGATAAACAGACTTCCACTTTGGAGGAAAGTGCTGCTTTCCTGTTACAGGAATAAAACATCGAGACAAATGACAGTTATTTGACTAGATGTTGTTTTAAATTATATACATTCTTTGAAGGCTTTTTAATGGCAGGCTGAAGAGTAAAAGCTCTTTTTGCTCAGTATAACAGAATACAAATACACGCACGAGGAAGAACAGAAAATAATGCTCCCAGATTTAATGCCACGAAGGTGATATTCCATCTGCCTGTTGCCAGAAATTCGCATCCTATGTTTTGGCAAGTGTGTGTCTCCCTGAATTTATGTGGGGTGGTGGCCAGAAGCGCACTAAATCCCGTTTGAGGACAGAAAACCACTTTAACCCATAACTGTTAAGAAAAGATGCCAGTTGGAGAGGATGGACCCACGGCATGGGGGAGGCAGGGAGTGGAACAGGAGAGTCTTCAAGAAAAATAAACCCTATATATCCAGCAGGTCAGAGAATTATATTTATTCTCCTGGAAAGAATATCAGAAAGGCAAGTGTGGTCCCACACTGGCCTCTCTTCACTACTGCATTACTTAAAAGTTCATCTTGTTATTCTGCTGCTTCCACAGCAGAATATTAATTTTAATACCTTCCTTTTCCCGTTCTCTGCAGCTCTGGGAGGCAAAGGCATCACTCCAGGCTTGCAGCAAGTCCCCCAAACGCCAGTGACATACAATCGGGGTACTACTGGAGGTATCTTGCCCACTAGCTGCTCAGGGCAGCAAGATGATGCTCAACCCATACTCCTGCAGTTCTCCCGCAGTGACACCGCTCAGGGACACCACAGCCTGGGCGAGCACGGCCGTAGAGGAGCCAACGTGTGTCTTGCTTCACGCATCTCTTCTGGCGATGCTGATATGAGGAGGAAAGTAAGGATCAGAGCAAACGATTCCCTGCTGCTACCTCCCTGTGATCCTCAGGTGTCTTACGCTTCTGCGAGCAGGACAGCAAGAGCTGTCAAGTGAGTCAAGAAGTGGCTCCGTCCCCTGCTCCATCTGGAGACTCAAATGATGCCAGTTTTTTGGAGCACGCTCGAATACGCTTGTCCAACCTGGCACAGTGGTTTATGTCTGGCTTTACTATTACTGCTAATCAAGGAGGATATCCCAGCTACGCATTAATTCAACTCCACAGCTTTGCTTAGCTCCATTCACACTCTGACAGTGAGTGATGAGTAACACTCATTTAAGAGATGATTGTATTTTTATTCATAACACACAACATGCCGCTTCTGAGGAGAAGCCAGAAGCCAGTAAGGAAAGCACAAACCCAACCGTTCAGTCGTTTCAATTTCTAGTTGGTTGGAATGGGCGTTTTCGATATCTTGGGTGAATAATAATAATAATAATAGTATCTGAAGTTTATCAAAACAAGCCCATGTGTCTTTGCCAGGTACACCTGGGAGTGAGCTGTGGTGTGGGTCATGAGCAGAGATCTTGCAGGGGAGGGACTGCACGGCCAACTCGCCCAGAAGTCGGGTACCACCATCTGCGGCGCAGCCGTGATGTCTCAAGCCTTGGGGAGCGCTGCAATCCCAAGTTTCAACTCATGGTGACTTGTTAACCAATTTTTCTGGGTTCCCCTCCCCATCCAGGTGTGTTTACCCGTAGAAATACTCACCCCCAAAGAGGCAAAAAGATTTTTAGCCAAAACCAGAAAAGCTTATTCGTACCAGTTGACATTTTACGTTCACGCATTCATCAGGGCTGTGCAGCGAGTATGTCAATCCCCTAATGCCACAGGCACACTTCTGATGGCCAGCAATATCCTATTTACTTAACTCAGCTTCATTTTTATTATGGTACTCAAAAAGTAACTGCAACTAGATGTAAATCTTGCATTTCTAAACTCAGCAAGAGGGAAACTCAAGATTAATGAGGAAAAAGAAACCCAGTTTAGGTGAAAAATATGTTTGTAAGAGCAAAACTTTGGTTATTACCTGAAAGCAGTTAAGTATTCTGTGTCTCCCATCGGTGGATCAAGGCCACCAGTAAAGGCCATGTTAACATTGAAACCAACTCCTGCTCCTGTGCCAACCTGAAAAAGGGAGACGGTACTCTTAATTCCACATACGGATACAGAGAACTCTGGCAACACATCTCGGCTGTCTTAATAGTCTTCCAGTTGAATACAGATTTTGATTCAATAACTTGGTGGTAGCGAGGTTAATTTTTCCCTCTAAAGTGTCCTGGTCCCCAAAACAAGAGTGAAAATAAAGTTCTTCCATGCTCCGATCTTTATGGGAGCTACGGACCAGCGGTATTTGACTGCTGCTCACCCCAAAACCACCTCATCATCAACTGGATCCTCTCCCTCTTTTGCAGGACAGCATGTCACACGCAATACCTCTCTCTTTAATTCGTTTTCAGATTTATTCAGAAGCATATTTTATATTTCATTACAGTTGCAACTGGGGGAAGAAAACCCACAGTTTTAATCAGAGCGAGCTCCCCCTCTGCTGGGGAAAAATATGATTCACAGGGAAGAGATTTTGATGCTTGAGGGACCCGTAGGTGGTATATGTAAGTACATCTCCATCCTTGCATGTGCTGCGAATGTCCCCATCTGCACGGACCGCAAACACCCGAGGAAGGGAAAAACTTACAAATAAACCAGGGGTTTCTAGTAATTCGTTTGACAAGAAGCAGGGCCATGTTTTCCCCATCTATACTGAAACTCAAAAGCCTGTGTTCAGTCCCTTCATCAAGTAGGGACCTCATAGCTGCCCGGCTGCGGTGGCTGTAAGCACGGGCTGCGCGTCCCTGGGGACAGCAAGGGAGAGGGGCAGTATCTGCTGCCACTGGCTGCTGGCACACCCACACAGTTTGGGTTTTGTTTTTTTTTTTTTTTTTTTTTTTTAGGTCTTTGCATATGAAAGAAAAAAATAAAAAATTGAAAATGAATGTGTTATATGATATACATCCAGATAATTCAGGCTAGATAAAGCTGCAGGGCTTTTATTGCACATTATTCCTTGCGTTGGTGCAAATACCGCTGGTAGAAAAACACGGGGGGGCTCATCCCTCCATGGTGGGCTATTTATCCATCTGTGGCTTTAACCGAATTTATTTTCTATTTTTGTTTTATTTGGTCTGGAATGACACACCTTATAATTACTATAAATGGTTAAATACGGAGTGGATGGTACAGTCTCGTGTTTCCCTACAATACTAGATATTTTGTCAGACTGATTACTAGATTATCAAAAGGTTAGCAAAAAAGTAAGTCTGAGACCTTTGTGTATCCTGCAGCAGAAATTAAGCCTGATGCAGAGGGCTGCTGTTTATTCACTAGAACAGTAGTGCACAAACAGGGTAATTAAGCAGTATCACGTTACATTTACGTTTCTTTAGAAATTGAAAAGGAAACAGCGATGTTTGCCGAATGGGAAAAACGTAGAATTGATAGGGTGAGAACTCTAGGAGTTTTCAAATGTAACCTGGAATGCCTCCGAGTACACAAAATTAAGTCTTTCACATAACATCCCTCTGATAAATCTCTCCCGGTAGGACCGTATTTCCTGCCAACCTGGAGGAAAGGAAGGACGCGATGGATGTAGGAGCATCCATCCCGAATTCAGGGAGAGAGGCCTCCCAACCTCCCTGGCCCAGCCCTTCTGCTCCGGGCTCGGAGGTCTGTGCCAGGAACCGGTGGATTTGGTCCAGCAGCACCGGTGACCGGTGGCCAAATCCCGGCGCCGGGGCGGCGCAGTGTGAACGTGGCAGGGCTGGGAGAAGGGCAGATGGACGGGCTCCAAGGCTGCACCAGGGAACTCGGGCGCCGCTGGCCCAGCCAGGGACAACCTGTTCCTCCTGCGTCGGAGAAACAACCGATGCCTACAGCGGGGGAAAATCCTGAGAAGTACACGGAGTGCTGGGACAGCTGGCAAAGGGCTCCTCTGGAAAGAGGTTCTCCCCGTAAGGGCTGGAGGGCCTAATTGCATTGACTCATTTTCTGCTCGTTAGCCAAGGCGTGCGCTTCCCTGCCAGCTCACGGGGCAGGACACAATGCCCACGGCTCTTGGGACCTGGACGAGAAGGCCCCGAATGCAAAAACCCCAGGCGATGGGTTCCCAGAGGGGCACCAACCCGCGGGAGCGGTGGCAGGAGCTTCTCTCCAAGCCTCGCCTGGCAGAGGCCCCCCCGAGACTTTGGGGGGGGCTCCTGAACCACAGTCCCGAGCGGGTCCCATCACACACGGACGGTTGCTGTGCCGATCCGTGCTCTTACCTCGTCGGGAGCACCGCTGCCTGGAAAGAAGTTCCCATCATCATAGCGATGTAGTGAAATATAAAGAACATTAGGATCGTTGTAGAAAGCTTGCTGAGTACCATTCCCGTGGTGAACATCCTTTGGGGACAGAGATTGCATTATATGAGGGAGGTTAGTACCTTCGTAAAAATGCAGATTAAAGCCATCAACTTGGGATTCGGAGGGGTTTTCTTTGCTGTTGTGCTTCGTTTTCTACGCTGCTCTGATCTAGCTGAAGCAGTTTGTCACAAATGAGAGTAACATGCTTTGCACAGCTGGCTTCAGGTTACTCTCCTTGTTTAACACACGGGATAAATGGGAGTAAACACAATCTCAAGCGCGTATCCAAACTGAGGGCAGAATCAATTTACTCGGATGGAGAGAACTGGGTTCGTACTCAATCTTTGGGGATGGAGAGACTAAATTAGTTACCCCAAATTTGCATCTTTAATCGGTCTGTGGGGTGACCACAGATACAAATGCCCAGTAAAGTTGTGTCAGGCCCAGCAAGGTTAAACGACACAAACCAACGACCTGGATCCCCTCCTGCATTGCTACTCTGTGCAGAAATGCAGTCTGTAACGGGACAGGTATTCAAAATGCCCCTTCCTGACACGAAAAACAGTTGGTGGGAAGTGAGGAAAAGGATGTCCGTCAATTAAGTGAAAAAGATGAACACATCCATTTTAACTTGCAGGTCTAGCCCATGGGAGATTTGCGGCAATATAATCAAAACTCTTGGCCGATACCCAGCAACTCAAATGCTTTCACAGCTGCACAAATACATTTTTAAATCTATTAAAAAAATTAATAAATCGATCAGCCACATTTTTAAATTTACACATCGCCACAGCAAACTCCCAAACAAGCTCTTTCTCCGCTCCACTGCGCTGTCTGCAGCGTATTTCACTGTCTTGCTCCAATTTAGAAATCATTTTTGACTGCCTGCCCAGGGGGCTGCACTGGCCCAGGGGCAGGACACTGAGACCATCCAGACCAGCGGCCAAGCCGTGTCAGCCAGCCTGTGCCTCGCAGTAACCGGGGCTCACATCTTGGAAAGAAAGCTGCGATGGATCGTAACAGTTAAGCTCAAAACCTCCAGAAAAAAAATAACCAAAACCCAGCACGGTTTGCAGTTACGCAGCCTTGAGGTTGTGTGATGGGCTTGTTTCAGAATGCAACTACTTACTAATTAAAATTTTATTCTGAAGACTATGGACATTTTTAGATTTTTTTTCTTTTATTATTATTATTTATTTTGTAATGAAAAAACCCCCAAACTTTAAAAAAATAAATTTTGGCTTGCTGACCACAGGCAACATTTTTTTTTTTTTCCCACTGACTTTCAAAGCCAGGCTTGCCCTTGCAAGAAAATAATAAGCCCAAAATTTCCACCTGCTCTTCTGAAGGGTAAGAACATGCATTTACTCACCCAGTCCACTATAAGGATTTTGCTAACGTTCAGCCTCTGTTGCAGCAGCTTGGCTGCGATTGCCACGGAGTTAAAATAGCAGAAACCCCTGGAGGTGATGAGAGGGGGGAGACAGGAGGAAAAGGACAGGTGTTAATTATAGGTTTCCTGGGTCCCAATGCTCCTATCATCTAGATATGTAACACAGTGGGAAGAAATTTCTTCTGCTCTCACTCTTCTTCCCTCCTCGGAAGACGCACGTGTGCGCAATTAGAGACACAGAAAAGCCACGCAGCAGCAGGTGTCTGTCCTGTGATCTCTGTGGAAACGGGGAACGTTTCCCACTTGCCCAAACCTGCTGCAACGAGATGCTGCTCGGTGCCAGGCGGGAGGGACCTCCAGAGCCAGGGAAGGAGACGGGAGCGGACGGGGAGAGGAGGAAAAGAAGGGGAAGGACCCAGGGCCGGAGCACCATGGTGTGATGGCTGGGAGGGAACTGACATGCTCAGAGAGGCCTCAAAACGCTGGGTAGAGGGAACTCGGCATTTCATTTCAAACAATTCACAAGAGTAAAGCAAATAAAAGCATCAGTGCTTTTTCAGAGCGTGACTGTAACGCTGGTTCTTGCTAAAAAATACCCACCCGAAACCACTAAGCAGGATCTTGCCCTCTTCCAGAGAATTACTGGGAGCTTTGAATATCATATTGTCCTGCATATCAATAAGCAAGAAACTCTGTAGTAACAACCTAACAAACTACCTTTCCAATTTCCAACTGCAGATCTCACAACAGACAAACACCGAAGCAAGCTGATAAAGCACGTCTGGATACTTACATGGGTGTGCTCTCTTCCGCATGGTGACCCGGAGGCCGAACAACAGCAAATCCATTCTACACACAAAAAAACAAGAGAATGAAGAAGTGAGACAGAAAGGAAGGTTTATTGCGCAAAGACAGACGCAGAGGTTGCAGCCAGAAGCGTTAATTCTGCTTTGGAACTATGTAGTTGTTCTCGATGGTTTTCTCACAAGACCATAGCAGTGGTTGATGCCCTCCCTCGCTTTGGAGGGGGGAAGAAAGTCCACATGAATTTTATGGAAACTGGTTGGTACAACGTTTTCTTCCATTCAGGGAAAAAAAAAAAAAAAATATTCTGCATGAGGTCACTGAAACAGCAAACAGGCTGGCCCAGCTGAAGGCAACGGCAAGACCCTCAGATAACACTGGAATAGTGATTTCATTTGCTGCTCTGGTTTCTTTCTTCCTTTTAATCGGTGCGTAAGAACATTCACCAGGAGTCTGTTGTTCACTTGCTGATATCCTCAAAGATTTTTATGACTAAAGCCAGATGGTGCCATTAAAATGAAGCTAACTGGACCTCCTGCATAACACAGCCCTGAGCCGGGTCCTGCCCAGAGCCTATATCAAAGCCAAGTGTTATTTTCATACCAACCTTCAGCTCTCCCGTGGCTACTTTGAAAACGAGCTCAATGACACAGCCCACGGCCAGGCGAGCGGCACCGGACGAGTGAACTTCGTTCCAAATTGTGTCACTGTCGACCTAACGGAGACACACAGCAACCACGTTTAGGAGCAACGAGGACAGCCAGGAAACAGAGACTCGTGTTTCATAAAGAACTTATTCGTACGTATTGAATGCAGAAATGCATTTAAGGCATTTTTATGCAGCACATTTAAATGCATTAGTTTCAAATCGATTAAACTGCAGCACTGATCTTGGCAGTAGTGGGGCTGGGACCCCGCTGATGACTGTAACATCACCACTACCAAGTGTCCCTCCAACCGAACGACACTCAAGAGATGACCATTTGCAACAGCTCTGCAATGATAAAGGGCCAGTGCCGTAACACGGGAGCAAATTCAGCATTTCAAGCGCTGTAAATCTGCAGGTGTCTCCTACTAATACTCCTACCAACACCAAGGTATCAGCATTTCCCTTTAATTGCTGGAGGAAACTGATCCCAGATGAAATAAAAAGGTTTACGAAATCATTCAATGATTCTATAAAATTAAAAAAAAAAAAACAAAACACAATAAAGAGACATGTTTAATAATGGACATTTAAAAGACGCCTGCCCAGCACCGCCAGGGTAAGGTTACACTGACAGCAGCTTCCCTGGGGAACCATAAGATCAACTCTGTCTTATCAAAGCTAACAACAGACCTTCAACATCTAGCTGCTGACTACAGACATTCACTTCAATGCTAAATATCTGACAGGACCACCATCCTCTATATTTTCTCCCTGAAAACATGCAAATAGGCCAAAGGCAAGGCATTCTGCAGACATCCCCATGCCGTTATTATATGAGATCATGCCCTAATTTAAACAAAAAGCAAGAAATCTTGGCTTTTACCACACTCATCCCAACAACCGTACGAAGACAAGATTAGTTTGCAGACACGTGATGAAATGCCTGTTCATTTTTTTTGCCTTTTTTTTTTTTTTTTTTTCCTTTTTTTTTTTTTTCCTGCAATTCAGGCGGCAAGTCTGCGGAGAGCAGAGGGGGAAGGACGGCTCCCGGGGGGCTGTTTCCAGGCTGAAGCTCTGGATCTCCTCCGCTGCACTCCCGCCCGTCTTGCACGCCGTGATGAAAGCTAAGCTCGTTTGCTTCTTGCCAGTCGCAGACTTTGCAAAAACCAGACTGCTGGGACTGTCCCATGTCAGGACAGCTCAGCTGCCTGGGAACATCATAGGGTAAATGTAACATTTCTCCATGCGAAGGATCACCAGCTATTTTTCACATTTTACTTGGTGTTGTGCTTATTTATGGAAACAATGGCAAAGGAGAAGAAAAGAAAGAGATTATTTGTTTTGTCTGGCATCTAGTCGGCTCACTGAGCTGTGGGGAGATGCAAGTCACCACACTGGAGATTGATCCACCTCCTTCACGGCTGTGCTAAAGCCAGCGGTGGAAATCATCCCAGGCCTGTTATCAGAAACAGTGTCTGGCAGCATCTGCCCTGAGGGTGCTTTTGAAGTCACAGTAAACCCAGAAAGCATTTGGAGAATACCAAAAAGCCACCTCCCACGTGGTAACGCTGCCAATATGTGCGCTGCCTCAGACTCTGGGGCAAGCCACTGCATCGGTGGAAAAGCCCCCCAGTGACTATTTGTGGTACGAGGGCTCCCCTGCACGCCCATAAATTCAGGCAGTAACATGGGAACAGAAGTACAGCGGGGTCTGAGTTATGCACGACGCCTCCAGGAGCCCTGGATCAGTACTGCACACACGCAGCAGATGGGATTGATCCGACCACGTTCCCTCCAAAAGCCCCCAGAAAGGCGGGAAGACGACCAAGCTGCTTCTCCTCCCCACCACCCAGCACCCTGCGAGGGTCCGTCTCTGGGCTCCTCATCAGCAGTCCTGTAAAAATGTTATGGGACGGACAAGTTGCTTTGCAATCGGGATAACACTGCTACACTCCCTCAGGGGATCCAGCAGTCTGCCTCCTCAGATCCTCGCCCCCCCCCACTATCTGTCAGTGGGAGACATTCATGATTTACGCAACAGAGAACATCTACTTGCCTTTTGTTAAGAGCTGACCACCTCGGTACCCTCGGTCTCACCGCTCAAGTGAGATATAACTGCACTTTGCAGTCTGGGCTGAGCATATCTAACCCATCCTTGAGCATATCTAACCCATCTTTCTTGGTCTTGAAAGAAAATGCTGCAGGACACCAGTAGCTACGAGCTTCCCGCTCTGCCCGGCCACAGCAAGTACATTTTTAAATAGCTGCACGTTAGTATACAGCATACAGTGTGAGTAGGAACCTCATTATGTATATCAATAAAGACTTCAAGTTACGAGGAAGGAAAAACTCTTTCAGGTTTCACCCTGAAACATCGTAGAGGTTCCTTGTAGAAGAGACCCTGTGTCAAGCTGTCGACCCTTCCTCAGGTCCCTTTCCACAGACGCAGAATCGCAGAGGGTCATCTTCATTCACCATCAGAGGAAGGGAAATACAAAAAAAAAAAAAATTAAATTCACATGTCCTAAGCACAGCTTTACCTACGGGACCAACAGACCCTTGGATCTCCTCAGACGTCTGTTCAGGCCAGCTGCAAAAGTCACCAGGGCCTGAGCGAAGCACCGCCGCGTTCAGGCCCTTTGATGCCTGCAGAAACCGGGCTCACACTGGCAGCATTTCAAGAAGAACGAGGAGGGCAAGATACAGTGGTTTTAAAGAGTTGTTATCCCTACAGAAAGAAATTAAGTACTTAGAAAAAAACATTCCACCTGTGATTTAGAAGCCAATTTCAAAGACTCTGCAGTGCCCCCACACTCAGCTCCCCAGCAGGAGGGGGCCTGGATCCAGAGATGTCCGCTGCCACCCACAAGCTCTCCAGTGCCCCATCCCACACGCAAACGTCTCCAAGATAAGGATTTAACACCCAGCCACCTTCCCCAGAACGGATGTCTGGAGACCACTGGGCCCTACTCCAAGGCAGCACTTCATCATCTGTGTGACTGGAAGCGTTTGAACAGTCCCACTGAAGCCATCAGTGCTCTGCAGCAGCAGGGTGTAGACTCTGCCATGGCGGAAAATGTTATTAATGTGGCCCCGAGCTGGATTGCTCTCCGGCTCTGAAGCTGCTGCTGTTTGGTGCGCGGGCTGCTGTTGACCCCTCCATCATTCCTGAATTCTGAAGTTCATTACAGGGGAGACGCTATTTGGCTTTCCCTGACTATGAGCTCTTTGATGTAGCTGCCATCACAGAAGTTGTTGCTGGGACAGCACATCAAGCCTTACCATCTGGAAGGACTTTACGGAGAGAGGAAGCATATTTCTTGCCTTTTGTTGATCCAACAGCGTTTATTTCTCTTTTTTTTCTCCCAAGCTGGAGGATACAACTGCGTCAGAGATACAGTCTTCCACATCTGCTGCTGTGTTGGTTGAGGAGTGGTTGTCCTGGTCAGCACACTCGTCTTCTTGAGAGTAATATTAATGCCTTGCTCGTTCTAATAAAGCAGCTGCTGTTTGTTCTAGGTGAGCCCATCGGAGAGGGCTCCTTTACAGTTGGGAAGAGGGAATTCAGCACCTGGGACCTGCTGCAGGCTCTCAACCTTCGCAGCACATGCCATTATTAGAAAATGATCAGTGAATGCAGAAGAGGAAGGGTCGACAGCTTGACACAGGGTCTCTTCTACAAGGAACCTCTACGATGTTTCAGGGTGAAACCTGAAAGAGTTTTTCCTTCCTCGTAACTTGAAGTCTTTATTAATACACATAATGAGGTTCCTACTCACACTGTATGCTGTATACTAACATGCAGCTATTTAAAAATTAAATGAGGAGGGTCTTACAAGGGGTTTCATTATTCTAATCTTTCCTTTAGCTGAAGAGCTATGCAGATAAGAACGCAGGGACAGGCAGGGACAAGCTGCACTGCAGCTCTGCAAAGCGAAGGGGAATGAAGGAGTTCTGCTCTTCCCCCCATCACCACTCGGCATGAGGTTTGGGCAACAGCAGCACACGCCGTCTGCGCTGCCGGCGAGTCGTCCCGACCTAGCCGCGTCTCCTACCGCTCTAAAGCACGGATTAAATAACCGTGCTCACATTTGGTTCTTCCAAGACTTGCTAATTAGTCTCTTCTCATTTACATTCCACGGAAGTTGTCTCTGCTCTGCGATAATCTACTTTGCTTGCACAGGTTAAGATTTTTATACACTCTAATCAAGACCTTACATCCAAAAATAGAATAAAACATTCTGAAAGAGAACAAAAACATTACGAACGCTTTTTAAAGCCCTGGATCTTCAGCTATTTTTAGAATGTGCACAGAAAAAGAAACTAGTACTCATGAAAGAAAGTTATTAGCTATCGTAAGATCAAATCTGAGTGTTTTGAAGAATTTGGATGTAAGTGTGTTGGAACTATTTTGCAGATTTTCAAAGCTCAAACTCCTTTCTCCAAAAGCTTCTTCTAATTATCCTCGATTATGTAACGCTCTGATGCATTTAAGTCATACATTAAGAAAAGTGTGTGTGCTGCAAAGAAGTCAAGGTAACTTCCTAAGTAAAAATACCGCATACTGCACTTGCAGATGCTGTTAAAGATCAGCAGGAATAAATTACTGTTGCTTAAATCAGAGTTCACATCTGTTGATATAAGTGCTTCTGTGCTTTCTTCCTTTCCCACTATGATCAGACATCTGCAGATGGGAGGAGGTTTGTTAGCGTCAGCTATGGCGATGTGAAGGCTTCCTCGCATAAAACAAACCAATGAGGGAAAAAAATGACGAGTTTCCAAGCACCAGGGAACAAAAATACCCCTTTCCTCATTGATTTTGAGACACTGCGACTTAGTTGTTACAGAGAGGTTAAAAGGTGTTACACGATGAAGCTAGTTGCTCCAAACTTTTTCCTGCTCCTTCACTCTCTTTAACGTCCTTCATCTCGCTCGCTGGTAGGAAGAACTCATGGCTGCCCAAGCTCCAGACTTCATCCTTCATCCTGGCGCCTAACAGCTCTTCATGGGCTTCTCCCCCCATAAATTGCTCTACGTGGCCTTTCGGATCCATCTATTCTTTTAATCTGCATAACATCCCCTACGGAAGTGAATTGCCTTGTTTAATTGTTTGCAGAAGGTAGACTTGGTTTCAAGCTTTCCAGCCCGTAATTTCATCTGACACCCTCAGCTCCTCGGCTTCCTAGAAGGAACAGCAATCGTTCCGCTTTCACCTGCTCCAGGTCAGTCCCCCTCCAGCCCACAGGCAGTATTTTGCACCCAACACTGAATTCAATGTGCTACATTACTACTACATTACGATTTAGTTTCTGGTTACCATGACACTATCCGTATTTCTTTGCAGGCAGCTTTTGCTTTGAAGACCCCAAATAAATTTAATACCATCAGCAAAGGGCACTTGCTCGTGACCCATCCCCTGAATTGCAACATTTCAGTGAATACACAGATTTCTTGGCAACAGTAATTCTGACCACTATTTCCTATCTTCTAACCAGTAATAAATCCAGAAGAGGATCGGTCCCACTTTATTCTACTAACTTTTGAGAACTTTTTTTTTTTTTTTTTTTTTTAAATTCTTTCCTTTATGGCATCATGTTTGCCCCCTGGAAAGCATTTGACAGACCAGTATCAATCAGGGAAAACTGTCCTTACAAAGCAGTCAGCCAGCTGGAAAGCTGTCTAGCGTCATGGTGAGCTGAATGCAGAGACCCACGAAGCACTTCCTAGGCTGCACTTATTAAGCAACAGAGCCAGAGAAGAAAAAAACCTGCTGAAATCAATCCCTTCTCCTTCGCACCTGGGCTACAAACCATCGGTAGTCAAGATGATGTCCTACAGGTGCTCTGATCATCACGTGCACCTGATGTTCCTTCACCACTAGGAAATATTCACCAGTACAAACTGACTGGGGCCCACACAGACTTCTCACAGCACCAGGGCTGCCCCTCCACAACCTTCTCAACTTGTAAGAAAGAGATAAAACAGAGACTGATTGCTGCTCAGCGATGAGTAATGTTCTGCCAACCTGGCAATCTCAAACAAGGGAGAGTCTAAATAAAACTCCATCACTCAAAAAAGCTACGTGGCCACCTTGCAGCCTGAAAATGGCCTGCCAAGCAACAGCAGAAAAACACCCCTTAAGCTCTCTCGCTAGAACAATATGAAATAATTTCATTATACCGTAACAAGCACTCAATCTCCAAGCAGTATTCACATGCTGCAACTTCTCAGATTTGCATTACACCTCCTCTCACAATAAAATTCTTCGTAAGTGATGTTCTACCCTAGCCTCTGCTGGTTGTACATACTTTTTTTTTTTTTTATTTCCTCAGAAAAAAAATATTACATGCATCTCAAAAATGTCTTGTCATCCTCTTTGGTGCAGAAAATACTTTGGCTTTCATCTGCTACTGAAAGGCGTGTTCTGTGGCCCCAGCTAAGATCCCACTATAGGGCTGCTTCCAACAGTTTCCCACAGCAAATCAAATCAAGAGCAACTTGTCTCTCAGAACTGGCACACTAACAAAGGCTGCAGTTTTCCCTCTATTTCTTCAATAAACATAGCACGCTGCTAAGCCAGCTTTCTTGACAAATCTCACACTTTTAAAGACAGTCGAAAAAGGGGTTGAAAGAACCTTGTGAGCTCCCCGTCCGTTTCTCCTACCCTGAATGATATGGTCTATGATTAAACCCATCCAGGGCACGTACAAGTGCAAAGCACTTAATATGTTATACCCAAGCGTTCTGTACCGTAGCCTCATTTTTCCTACAAATATATGGCTGGGATGTATATATTAATTAGAAATGTATTCCAAAGGCAGTGAAGACCGTGTTTTCCTGCAGCAGCCACGAAAGCAGCAGAAGTACACAAATAGTTGGCGCTGTATCCCGAGGTAACTGGGGAAGGAAACCCAAGCAAAACAACAGAAAGCCATTTTTATGAAAAATCCAACTATCACGTAGTTGATCACTAGTAAATGACTGGCTTTAAAAAGCTGTTCCTAGAAAACATTCAAATTATCTGCTAGGATTGCTAAAACGCTCTACAAAAGTCAGCGAATGTTTTATTTAATTTTTAAGGGTCTGTGGAGACAACCAATCAGCAAGTTAACTGCAAATGCTATCTTTATTACGAGCGTATCGATAATACCAGCACTGTGGCGTTTCCTGCCTTGATTTAGGATTTAATGCAAGACTTCTGGGACTGTGCTAGGCTCAGGCACTGTCTCTACTTGTTACCATTCAGTCTTCATTTGCAAATGATAATTTTTGCTTTGAATGGCATGCCTGACTGCAGGGCAGAGTAAATCCAAACCTTTTCAACTCTAGCCAAAAATTTGCCATGAATTAGGAGACTGCAGCATATTTACAATACAAAATAAAATATCTCTACGAGTGCTCAGTGGTGGCGGTATGAATAAACGCCGATTATTCTTTTTTTTTTTTTTCTTTTTTTTTTTTTGACGGGATAATTTTCAAAGCAGTGATTTTGCAAAGACTCAGGAAGAAAACAATTTTGTTTCATTTCCATAACAGAATCCAGACCTCTGAATTCAACCTCACGAGCTACAATTATGCATAAGAACTACCACTGTGAATTTTCAAACACAATGCCTTTTATTGTCTCTTCTCATTCTCTTCTCTTCCTGTTCTCCGAGATTTTCTGTACTGTCACCCTCCACAGAAACTTTAGAGCAGAAAGTCTGACTTGAAAGGAAAACTTTAAAGTTTTCAGGCTTCAAAGGAAAACAACAACACAAACCTTCAGCACAAGGTATTTGGATGGTATTTGAGTTGGGTTATTTTTTTTTTTTAGCTTTATGGGAACAAATAACAACAACAAAAGTCTTTCTATTATATGGAATCTTGACAGATGAAAACTAATGTTCGGTTCTTCTATGATGGATGGAGAAGTATTTTAGTCACCTCCTTCAGAATCCATGCGTGATTGTCCTGGAGCTTGAGAAATTAAAGATGCCAAATACGGAGGACTGCAATTCCCTTGTGCTGCATAACCTGCGGGACATTTCATTCGAGGACAGTAATGTAGCCCAGACACAAATGCAGCAACTTACTATATACAGGAATTTCCCAAATACTGTCCTTCAATATCACTATTTTATTAATATGTTTTCCACCTGCTCTAGGAGGCAGGCAGCTCTGAAGTACAAATACTGAAGATGAAACACCTACACAGCACAAGCAGCATGAAAAGCACATCTTGCTTTCCATGTAGAAAGCGTTTTTGGACGCAAGGATTGCTTTCAAATGTAGGAACCTCTAAGCCATTAAATATCACTGCCTGGGAAATGAGGTTTCTCCTCCTAAAAGCCAGAGACGAAACATGCCTATGAATGTCACACACACTTTGGCTCTCCAAAATAGTTTAAAAATCTTCACGCTGCTTTTGAAGAAAGGCACGTGAGGCTGTCGCTGCAACCCCGCACCCCAGGCAGACCCTGTTTATGGGTAGCATCTGGTTGCAATTACCCACTTGATGGAATGCAAAGCAACAATTTTTGTTACCAGTGGGACTGGGAGAACAAACAGGACATTATTTACACATTAAAGAGAGTACTCACCCCGACACCACCGCAAGGAAGCCTGACAAACATTGACGTTAGAGAACCTGTAGGGAAAAAAAAAAAAAAAAAAAAAAAAAAAAAGGACCCTTTAAGTCAAAAAGTCAAAGTTCACCAGATTTTGGTCCAATTTTATGGCAATGCTGCAATCTTTCCAAACACAACAACAGACTGGGGTTTTCTTGCAATTTTCAGAAAACACACAGCCAACCCTGTTACGTTACAATGCGTACATACACAGTGTACACACTTGGACTTGTTCAAAAGCCTTTCCAATATAAAAGCCGCCTATAAATCACTTTTTATGCAGGGTTTGTGTGCTGTCCTACATTTCAAGCAGTCATGCTGACTATAAATGATTGAGATGCTACCAACAACTGCTCAGCATGTCATCTCAGATGAACATTTTAACCCCTATCAACTGAAGGAGGATAGGAAATCATAAAAACACCCTGGTTATCAGTCATCTGCAGTCACTAGAAGTCTTTGGAGCGCATGAGCTTCATAAAAGAGGAAGACAAAAAATAATCCAGTGGCAAGCAAAGAAAACATGTTTTGACTGAAAGAGCAAAACCAGTGTTAAGTATTGGATAAAACTATCTGCAGTCATTATTTTGCATCTGTAAGAATTGTATCATCACTTTCTGGGCTTGCATATGAACAAATTATCCTCCATTCAAAATTCTGTGGGTTTATAAATGTTATACTGAAACAAGAACACACTGCCTCATATCCACCACCATCGTACGTGTACATGTATGTACACTACATGTGTCTACACACCACAGGCAAACAGGGAGAAGGAAATATGTGCATGTAGACACTGTAAAAGATCTGGAGCACACTGCCTCAGATTCATTGCTTGAGACCTAGTTAAAGCCAACGAAAACTAACGATGAAATAAACTGGGTTGTTTTTTTCCCCCCACCAAACCAGGTTCTTGTTCTGGTCATGTCTATACTGAAAGAATAAATTCCCTTAAATCCTAACTACCAGCTTAGCAGAGCGTGAATTAGCCATGACAGCAGATAGACATTACCGAGGACCATGCTGGTGTCAAATGCATCGCAGACACATACGTTACCCCTGTGACTGAAAGTGGAGTGAATGCATCTGTATTATTAATCTGAGCGCACAGAGAGATTCACTCTTTGATTAGATCCACATGAAAGTTCTTAGATCATCCTGCCTCGGACCTCCTGTCACATCTTTCACTGCTAATCCACCCATTATTTAGATATTTATCTTCTTGACAACAATTTATGATTGCTCTCCGCAAATTAAAAGCAGCCTTATTTACCCAAGTTTAAACTTGTTCAACAGGTTCCAAAGCTTTACACTGTCAAACAAAAGATGAATTTGTATTTTTCATCCTCAGACTTTCAAGGGCTTTAGCAACACTTCCAGGGCTAGAGTTGTGCAACCTGCCTTGAAGGCCACCACCACCTCCAAACCCGCCTGATAAAACACAGCAAAGCAAATCTTTGTGATGCTCGGGATCCTCTGGGGAAACTAACTTCAACATCAGCGGTGGGCTTCTGTTGCAAGTCTCTTCTGCAAGTGTAAAGAAGGGGACTCTTTGGGAAATGAGTAAGACTCGGAAGGAACGAGCTACAGGACAACTGCAGAGGTAAAAGTAATCAGCAGAGCCACAATGACGCCTGCTTACAATTCTGGAAGACCTGAACTATTTACCCCCCTTCCCGCTTTCTCCTAAAGAACTGCCAGATGAAGGGACACCCCCCCTATCGTTTGCAGAAGCTTAAAGAGAAACATCCCATGTTTTCATCCCCCAGCTTTTCCTTTTAGGCTGAGGTTCCTCATGTTTTTTCTTCCTCATAGACATATCAAAGGCAAAGAGTTTACATGGAGTCAGCCAGAAGAGTCGTACACATGTCAAGACACTCAGGTCTAACAAACTTACATTTGCATATGGGAGCCTCACACAAAGCTTTGGTCTCAGACTTCAAACCTGCCACACATTTACGCTCTAACATATTTAAAAGAACCCCACAAAGCTGTTTTGTAAATTTAAAAGCTTTTCAAACTCTCAACAGGAAGGGATGGCTGAAGACATGGCTGCTTACAGGCTTGCTCACCTCTGTACACAAACGCACACCCTGAGGTTTTCCAGGGAGGTTTTCCCAACCCATCAGTGCCTGCAACTCTCGCTCAGGGCCAGCGCCGTGGAAGTTAAGAAACGGGTTTTAGGGCCAGCATCGCTCTTCCCGCCCCGCTCCCAAAGGAGAACTTCCCCCCTGGGTGCTGTGCAGACATCCCAGCCGGGCTCGCTCCCCGCGTCACTCCGGCTGGCTGTGCTGTCCCTGCGGGCCTCTGGCTGCCAAGCCATCCCCTTATTTTCTCCTGCCCGGTGGGGTAACTGGCGGCCACTCCGAACGGTGAAGCTGTTTGCTCTTCCTCCGAGCTTGGCGCTCGGCACGGGCGTCAGTGCCAGCTGTGGCCCAGGCGCAGCTCCGCGGGGAACGGGAGGACAACCGGGCAGCGGGGAGAGGCAGCCCACTGCCCTCGGGGCATGCGAGCTGGCAGCGAGTCCCCCTGCTAGCTGCTCAAGGCTAAAATGGATTTAGGAAACAAGGCCTAAATTCAGCTAAGAGCTACGGTAAAGCCCTTCCTCCCGGAGATCCCGGGGAGCTGACCTGTCTATGGCTGCAGCTCTTAGACAGCTTGGGTCTTTTTTGCAAATTACACCCAAATAGGAAACATTTTGTACCGGAACACCCTCCGGTATCAGAATTATTTCTCTTCGCTACGGGAATAAACTTGATCCCTACAGATTTTTTTAAATGAGTGACGTGGGGGGGGACACAGCAAAACTACGGAAATACTCACAGGCAGAGCAAGAATTTCCCCTCCCTCAGGTTCTCTAAACAAACCATCAGGAATGGTTCAGCAAAACCCCCAAATCCAACACTAACCAAATAAACCGTATCTCCAAATGCGTCTTGGACCTATTGATACAGACAGTGCCAAGAGTCAGAGGGAGCAGAACAATATCTCAGCAGGATCTGACATCCGAATGAGCGGGAAACTCCAGTGTTATCAGAGTCCACCCTAAAAATGTATCTTCAAGGGGTATCTCTGAAAGGAGAGGGGTTAGGGTGACCTCCTGCCCGCTCAGCCCCCCCGCAGGTGGTTAGCACCCTGCCTGCTCCCAGGTGGTGAAGCCAACGGGTCAGATGCCGGGGGACTGCCCGGTCCCACAGCGGCGGATGGTCAGGGCACACGTCCTCACACCCCTTCAGCACTGCGGGCCAGGAATTTGCAGAGAAATCAGTCAGGGTGAAGGTGGTGTCCCCCCAAACGAGGAGCCTTCTCAGATCTACCGGGGAAGATTTACTTTACGGGCTGCTTCTTTCGACTGGTGGGTACACCTTACGCAAGGCGTGAGTTTTACACTACAAAGGATATGACATCATAAATTCTTTAAACTTTACATACTAGTTGTGCTATCATTCAGCCAGAGGTGTCTACTTTTCGCTTCTTTGGGTTTTAAAGAGGTGGTAAGTTAGCTATAAACACAGTGCTAATTGCATGTTTAAACAACTGGCTAATAGCTTTCCTCTTCAGGGATATAATGTATATACTGAATATGTTGCAAAAAACTTTCCAGCTCTTTTGCTGTGACTACTACATCATGCAGCCCATCAAGTTAAACCTCTTTTTTATATCATCCAAAGTCAGGCTAATCCCAAAATAAACTTTCTCAACTTCTGGGTTCCAGAACTGTCTTTTTGCTGATTCCCATGTGAGAACCTGACCAACAGCCCCTCCAGCTGCAAAAAGGTGCAAAATAAAGGGAGAAGATGATGTCTCCACAGAGGGAAGGTGCTAAAATCGATGAGGTTTGGTTCATATGGGGGGGTTGGTTATCTGCACAACCATCCCTTAGATTTTTTGCAGGGCAAGTCTATCTTTTACAACAGATGCAGCCCCGTTTCAGGAAAATCCAGAGTCCAGTGAAAGGGATAAACAATCTTACTCCAAATTAAACAAATGTAAGACTATTTAAGAGGCCCCTGCGTCTTTCCTGAGGATAATCCACACAAAACTGAGAGCTATTTGTTGATGTCTATGCAGCTGGTTGGTGCTGCAGATCCAGGTCCTTAGTAGGGTGTTCCAGTTCCTACCTAGCCATGGAGAATTTTCTAACATGCGGAGCATGTCCGAGGATAAAATAAAATGTCTGAGTTACCTTTCCTCCTCAGGGAAGCCTCCTTTTAGGATTCGAAGACATCAAAGAAAGGAATTTTTAGTTATCTAGGGTTTAGGGATCTACCTGAAGAAAGGAAAACGTATCTTGTACCACTCTCAAGCGGATATTGAGCGGAGGTGGGAGGAATCCTCTTGGGAACTGCCCAGAGCTGAGGATGGAGGCAGCCCCATGTCCCACCCTTCATCCTGCTACTGCTAAGTGTTTGCCAGCCTCAGGGCTGAGGACGGTAGTGGGAGTGCTAGAGGTCAGAAAGGGGACACCACCCCCCCCCAGGGAACTATACCTAGAAGTTTCTTGCTGTCCAGTTTCTGTCTGTTCAGAGGGTTTGTGCCGTACAGCAGTGTATGGGCTTCCGAGTGAACTGTCTGCAGCTCTTCTAGAGTTGCTTTTCTTCCACGAATGCACTGAAAGAGGAAAGAGAAGGAGTGATGAAATCACCGATTAACTGCTTAACTCTCTTAACTAAACTCTCTTAAACTCTTACGTGAAAAAAATTCATTGTAAGACAGGTTTTGGTTTCATCTCTTATTATTAGCTTGACATATAAAGTCATCTTCAGGCTTTTTTGTGTTTTACAAATACTACTGCAGGGCATTTGCTAAATCACACAGGTATTGCTCGGCCACTGAATACTCGGGATTTCAGTTATAAGCCATTATAAAGTGATTTACTGATGAAAATGCATCCTAAAAAATTCTCCCAAACACATCACCTTCCAAACTGAACCTTCAAGCAACTAAGGGTCAGTTACAAGCTTTCTGCTCTAAAACTCATCTCGGAAATCCCACAAGATTCAATGTGCTGCAAACTGTTTCCTTATACAATGATGCAGGTTGAGCTGGAAGCACTGTAGCAAATATGCACATCCCTGCTTTTGTGCGCCAGCTGAAACCCAGAAGGGCAGATGCACACCGAAGTCAAAACCTTGGCTCCACTGGAGATCATGGCAAAGCTTTTACCGCAGGATCCAACTCCACGTTTTACAAACTGCTGATCTTTTCCCATTTTTTTTGCCATAGGGGTCCAGCATACCTTTGGGGCTTACCATTTATTGCAGCCGCCCAACTGCAGTGGAAAATATGTTTGTAAGAACAAACTGCTACTTGGAGATGCTAAATCTTGGGTGTACAAGGACCATGCCATGGCCTCTTGCACAGGAGGGAGCGCTCCCCAGCAGGCAGATGGCACCGGGGGGATATCAGGTATGCCAGAGAAGGCAACCAACTGCCAGCAGTGGAAAAAACACCTCAACTTTTAACTGGGAGCTTGTGACTGCCTCTGAAACGTTGGCAGGGGAAATATGCAGTGAGTTGAGAAGGAGCTAAGGTCAGGGGTAAGTCAAGAGGTGAGAGGGGAAGGAGTTACTTAGAAATGTGGATTGCTTTGCTTCAGAAACATGTATGCACTCCCCCCTCCTCCAAGAAAAAATAATAAAAGAAAGGAGAAGTATTTTATATGGCTTAGAATTACTTCACGGTTATTTTGTTGTGATTTGGACTGAAACATTTTCAAAGGAGTTGTCACTTTGAGGGGTTGTTTCCTACAGAAGGAATGACAGAATTATTCCCCTCCACAATAATAATGCTTAAATATAAATAGTGAAAAGCAGAATGTTGGAAGGCTCTGTGAAAGCCTCTTGTAGGGGTCCCAGAGTCACCCAAAATGTGAGCCTCAGCAACGAGCATCCCGCTGCGCAGCCCACACAGGATCTCATGCACGCGTCTCCTGCACAGCCCTCACCCTGGCTTTCCTCAAAGCCAGTTGCTTTTTTAAGACTTCCGTGTTCCTGGAGAAGCAGAGTTTCTAATGAGAAAAAAAAAAAAAAGAAATCATGCTCCTAAAAAGAACAGACTTCCAAATGGAAAGCTTGTTCTGAAGGGAAGGTCAGCCCGTGCCTCTCGCTCCCGAGCGCTGCCGCGGCTCGGAAAGCCTTGCCACTGCTCAGAAAGCCTTGCCACTGCTCAGAAAGCCTTGCCACTGCTCAGAAAGCCTTGCCACTGCTCGGAAAGCACTTCCGTGTGCTCCATGCTTTGCAGCAGAGTGCTACAGATGAGAGGCTTCAAAGGCATCGGCACTTCCAGCCAAGCAGCTCCCGCTTTCGGACCGCCGCCGCCTCGGGCTGCAGCCCGGCCCAGCCACAGCACCCCGGGCTGGAGCACGGGGACTCCAGGACCTCCACATCTGAACAAAGTCAAGGGATTTTTTTTTTTTTTTTTTTCTTTTGGACTCAAACCTTCAGCGTAAGCCTCCATCATGTGTTGCAAAGCGCACAGGAAATCACTTTGCAAAACCGCTGGAGGTGTAAGGCAGCAGAAATCAAAGCACGGCTGGAGCGCTCGGCCGCCCTGCCTCTCCTAATTTTGGCACTCCTGCTTTCCAGCTCCTCTTTCATTTTCTCCGTGCTCTGCTCCACCACCTAGGTTTCCTGAGGTTAATGGTGAGGCAAAAATACAGCATCCCATTAAAGAGGCAATAATCACAAAAATGCTAGACCCGGAAGGGATGGAAATATCTGGCAAATCCCCCTTGAACTTTTATCCCGTCCTCCTTTTTTGTTCGTGGTAAGCCTGTCTCAGTCCCCCCTTACAGGCTTTTACAGCTTCCCTCTAACCCATATGCCGACTCTCTTCCTTTTGAACAAGACGTACTGACCCATTTTCAGCTGCTGCATTTAGGGGATGTACAAAAATAGCATTTTGTATTTCTTGGCGCTGCGTGAAGACACCAGGAGAACGGCCGCCCATCGCAAGAACATGCTAGCTCCTCCGTGGATGCAAACTAGCTTCGGCTCCCCAGGATGAGGAAGGGCTGTTCCCGTTTAAAGTAGGTGGCCCTACCAAGCCACCCAAGCTCCGTGCTCTTTGGGAGGGTATCGATGCCACCCTCCCCTCCCTGTGACACCCACAACCAAACAGAAACAGCAAGTGGATGGAGAACTTCCTTCTGTGCTGCAAGTGGAACACATTCAAGGGAAAAGCTACTACTTAGTGAAACAAATATATATCACAAATGTCAGAGCAAACACTGCTTGTCTAGAAAGGATTATGGTCAAGAGGCTTTTGCACCTTTCTCCTCTCCCAGCTCATGCACCGCAAGCTCTGTCTTTGGCTCTGACACAAAGACAGCAAGAAAATAGATTCAATCCCCCCCCCGAATAAAGTTAGAGAACACAACACATCCCTCACTCCTGTTTCCAGACTCATGTCTTGTATCTCAGTCTACGGCTCAGCCTGCTGACCATGCTCCTAATTTGAGCAGTTCTTCACTTCCTAAGAGCTCTTAAGTCATGATACTCTTATCTTTGAGGTTTCGTGCTGTCTATTGAGCTTACTCATTCCAAATTACCCTTCCTTTTGTCTAATGTCCTTCCTGGCAGCTAAATCCTGGCTTTTCAGCTCAGGAGTTGGCTTCTTAACCCTGAGGAAGTAGTTGGCTCTTTACCCCATTGGCTCTTTACCCCATTTCCTCGGTGCCTCTCCCTGCATGAAATCTGACTTTCGCGATGCCACACCACCTCTCCTCTCCTACTGCTTTATACACGTCCTTCCTCACTCTTCATCCATTTCCTTGGAGCCACTTTTTCCCTTGCATCTTGGAAAAAAAAAAAAAAAAAGAAAAACCCCACTAGTCTCTTAGTTTGCATTTTATTCACCCTTTCACCTCATGCTATTTCAAAAGAACAGGGTATGGATCTTGAGGGACCGTGAGCTGGATCTTGCTTCAGCTGCGGCCCCCCCAAAAAGCCATGAAAGTAGCTATAAAGTTTCCCTCCAGAGACCGGCTCCCCGGGCACCGCCGCCGCCACCAACCTCCCGCCTGCCCTCGGTGTTTTGCGATGGGAAACCTTGGCCCTGGAGCGCCTCTGCGGAGGCTGCACCGCCCGGTCCCATCCTGCACACCGAGCGGCCGCCCAGCCCGGGGTCTGATTTTTCGTGTCCGTCCTCCCCAGCTGCAATTAACCTTCAGCTCACAGTCCTCGTGCTTTAACCAAGGCAGGATTGCTGCCAAGACGGGCTTGGAGATGGACCCTTGTTGAGGAACTCATTCTTCCCCATCCTGGTTGAGCAGCCCGGGGATCTGATTACCTCTGAAGCACACAGCTATCGATTTCCTCGCGCTCTTGATGAAGGCTGGGAGGATTATACTATACTGTGATTTCGGGTTTTTGTTTGGGAGGCAGAGTCTTTTATTGAGATCGCCTCAATTAGTATAATTGTTGCTTTTAAATTCTGAACGTACACCAGAGTAATTGTCGTATTTTATAAAGCTAACTTAATGAAACAAGCAATACTCTCAACCACAGCTGTCGTTAAGTTTGGACGACTGCTTTCACTCCGAAGGGTCATCTTTAAGTTTGTGCAACTCTGCCAGACCCTTACCGATCACACTGCAAATCTGGTGCATGCTTTCCCCTCGGCTGGATGTAAAGCAGTTTTTGGACAACTTTAGCAAATACATATCGGATTCACTACTGAAAAATGAGAGGCGGGGAGGAGAAACAATGTGTTTTTTTCTGTTCTAAAAATATTCATGCCCCTTCTGGATCACTTCTATTGCCTCTGAGAGAAACGGTGGGAATTCAGCACTTGGCAGGTTGTCTAGGAGCCTCTCGGCTGCCTGATGAAAACAGGTTTTAGCTTAGTTCATTTCTGAAATTTCAAAGCAAGTATTTGTTTGCATGCCTGTTAAAAATATTTATTTGTGAGCCCTTTTCTGGCTTGGGGCATGTGTGCAACAGAAACACCAAAAGAACACTTCCAGGAGACAGACACTGAGAATTGTTTGAGCTTGCATAGGAAAGCAGAGCTGGAATTTATTTGCAGCGTGCAGTCGCGGGGAGGAATGAGAGCTGTTAAACTCCTGGAAGAGGACAGGGATCCACTGGAGTCTTGTCTGATCCCACACAGTGTGCATGGGATTATTTACCATGCAGGGAGCTGTGGTTTTAAACCATGTCAAGCAACTACTTGCAACCAACAGGATCAAACTATATCCACACCCGGACCATAGCAAAGGGCTGTTAAGAAAGGAAGGGGAAACGTGAGGATACAGAAATGTCAAAGTTCAAACTGTCCTTTTACAAATACAAGTTGTGAGAAATGGATTAAACCACCTAATCACAAACAATTTTCACACCAGGCCCTTGGGCTTACTGAACTGGCTTCTAATGTCTGAGGCACAGGACAAAAGACCTGCAACAGTGAAGACAAAAATGAGCGTGCACAGATGTGTCTGTCAGCAAGACCAGCTCAAAAAAAAAAAAAAAAAAAAGGCATAAAACAGAAGCTCAGCAAAAAATTAAGTGTACAGCCTGGCAAATTTCTGAGTGCTATAATCCAGGTGTTGCTGCTGACTCGCTGCAAACCTAATTTGTAATAATTCTGAAAATATTCATCTCCTTACGAGTGCCTATAGGGCTGGCTATGCAGATGGAGCAGTTATAATCCATAAAAAAAAAAATGTAGATACATAACAGGCTGCATCACCATCCTTACATAAACAGCTCTGCTAAAGTTTTGCACATCACGCTGTCCTGCATGGAGCTTCAACATCACAGAATGGTTTGGGTTGGAAGGGATATTTAAAGGTCATCCTGCAGTGAGCAGAGACATCTTTAACTAGACCAGGTGGCTCCAAGCCCCGTCCAACCTGGCCTTGAATGTGTCCAGAGATGGGGCATCTACCACCTTTCTGGGCAAGCTGTCCCAGTGTTTCACCACTGCCTTGGTAAAAAATTTCTTCCTTATATCTAGTCTGAATCTACGTCTCTTTAGTTTGAAACCATTAGCTCTTGTCCTATCACTAGAGGATCTACAAAAAACTGTCCCCATTTTTCTTGTAAGCCCCCTTTAAGCCCTGGGAGGCCGCTCGAAGGGCTCCCCGGCCCCTTCTCTTCTCCAGGCTGAACCCCCCCAACTCTCTCAGCCCGGCCCCCCAGGGGAGCTGCTCCAGCCCCCCCAGCATCTCCGTGGCCTCCTCTGGCCCCGCTCGAGCAGCTCTGGGTCCTTCTGCTGTTGGGGGCCCCCGAGCTGGCCCCAGCACTGCAGGGGGGTCTCCCCAGAGCGGAGCAGAGGGGGAGAATCCCCCCCCTGGCCCTGCTGCCCCCCCTGCTCTGGCTGCAGCCCAGGGCACGGGTGGGTTCTGGGCTGCGAGCGCACGGGGCTGCCTCACGGGCAGTTTTCCCCCACCAACACCCCCAAGTCCTTCTCCTCAGGGCTGCTCTCAGTCCTTTCATCCCCACTGATACCTGGGGGTTGCCCTGACCCAGGTGCGGGACCCTGCACTTGGCTTGGTTGAACCTCATGAAGTTCACATGGGCCCGCTTCTCCAGCTTGTCCAGGTCCCTCTGAACAGCATCCGGTTCCTCCGGCATGTCAACTGCACCACTCAGCTTGGTGTCATCAAAAGGCAACAGGGATTTGAAAAAGTAACATGATTACTAAATGTAAGCGTAACTATTAGGCCAGACTGCAAAATTCCTTCTAAATCAAAGACTGAAGCTTTCTACATGTTACTTCTATTGCATTCCCATCCGTGGGGTACGGTCACAAGTCCATCGTCCCAGGCAATGTCAACAGCTCATGCCCATGCTCCAACCTAGCAGCAGAGATCCCTCGTGAAGGAAACCCCTACACTGATCACACTCTGCTCACTGATAGACAAGTTGCAACTGAGAAAGACTGACATGCAGGGAAGTGCTGAAACGGCTTTGCAACGTGGAAAAGAATGACATTGGTCACGGACAATAGGAAGTGAATGGGCGGCTCCAGAAAACACCCTACCAAGGACAGAAGAGTGAAGGGATGACGTAGGAAGGAGATGGGAAAAGAGGGGAAGCTTGTGCCCATCAAGCCCATGAGAAAAGTTAAGATAAAGAAGGAAAGTTTGATGCAGGTGTGGGCAGGACTAGTAGATGGTGGGGGTAAAGAACCGGAACACTAATGAGAGAGAAGCAAGGGCAATTAGAGCAGCTGGTTATCCTGAAATGGCATAAGAGAGCCATCAGAGAAGAAAACACTGGAATTGAGGCAGAAAGCTAACCTCACATATTTACTGTTTTCAGAAACAAGAACAGTCAAGGTGAGGTTGAACTTCACCAATGGTCAGGAGGGAAACACAGGCGGAAAGCAAGTGAACAATAAGAACAACTCCAATTGGGAGAGCAACCGAAAATACCAAATCAAGGAAAATAACAGTTGCCTGGGATCATACAGTGAAGAACTTAGACATTGGAGAACATCCGTAATTTAAATTTAGGAGACAAGGCAATTAGTACTGCATAAGTTAACTCCTGCTTCTAAACAGAGGAGCTAGACAGCAGTGGGGTACTTTTTTTTTTTTTTCTTTTTCTGTCCCAAATAATACACACAAAACTAAATTAACCAGGTCCCCATAGACAGAAACAGGTTTTAAGTTCTTCCTTGCTCTCTTCAGGGATAAATACGGGTAGGACAGGGAACTTTAGCCAATGGCAATGCTGCCACCACGTGGATGTCTCTTCTGATTGCTCAGAAAACATTCCCAGCCAGATGCCGACAGAAATCAAATATACCGTGTGCTTCAGTCCTCTCAGACGCTCAAAGAATTGATGAGCACAGACTACCATGAATTTATCATCACTGCTATTAGTTATGAATAATAATTGTTATTAATCACTATTATTAGTCTTTGTATTTCGGAATCTAAGCTGCTCTCTTAGTTTGCCTCGCTCTTAAAATATGTATGTCCAATAAAGTTAATTTAACCTCTTGTGATGGCATAGTGCTTAGTTATATCCTCCTACCCTCATTCTTTTTACAGTATCTTCATTATAGTTGTCCATTATTTATCAAAGAGTATTAAAAAAGTTATTAAACCACAGAAATACCAACTTGTCGCTCCACAGCTTTTGTTGCCATGACTGGAGTGATAACAACTAACACGGCTACTTTATGTTGTGCTCTTATCTTTGGCTGCTTCAAAATGCAATGCTTGGTAGCCACTTCCAGTTTATAGGCAACAGGACCGAAAATTACAGAAGCAGCTTCATTGGCAACATCGGGCAAGAACATTCTCCAACCTCTCACGAAATTTCTAACAGTCATCGTGATGCAATGAAATCAGATTGCTAGAAAAGTACTCCTGACAGACGCGCACTCCCAAGCATAAGCAGACATCTAGGAATGGATTAAATTTAGGCCACATATGGCAAAACACTGCCAACATCTGGAGCTATAAAAATTTCAAGCCAGAACGCAGTATAAAGTTTGCACATCCAGGTAGCAGTCAACAGCCCGAGCTGCAGGTTTGGTACAAACGCTCTTGTCGAGACCAGAAACCAACCCCCAAAACCGCTCATAATCCAGCAGTCCAATCAGCCAAAGAAATCTAAATTCTCCGTTTTTTTGCCAGGCCCACCACCTCATCTCCCCCTTCGCTGGTATTTTTATTACCTCACACTTGCCACGGAGACCCGTCTCCTGGAGCCGGGACCAGATGCTCTGGATCCTCCCCGCGTGCTCTGGGTGGCTGTTGGTGTTTCCACAGGTACACTGGTGCTTCAGCATCAAGGTGTCATATACAAGGCCTGCGGCAGAGATTACAAAATTGCTCTCAGTTAAAAAAAAAAAAAAGAACAAAACCGAAACTAATTTGCCAGATATATGGAAAACCCCCTCTTTTTTATTTATTTATTTTTTTTTTTTACGACAGTGCTTTATATTCAGCTGAACACTTCTTGACAAAGACTGTGTTTCACCAGGAGCCACACAGCTCTGAGAAATGAAAATCCAAGATGCTGCTTTGAGACAGCACCAAACCTGCAATGATTCCTTCCTCTGGAAATCCTCAACAGATCCGGTAAAGAAATTAGTCACCAAGATTTTTCTGCAGGCTTAAGGTGTGAGAATGAACAGAAGGAGGTGACAACTGAAAGCATCAATATGAATCCAGAGGTGCCAGCATAGGAATGTGATCTAGGAGGGGACTGACTTGCAACTTTTCTGCTGGGTACTTCTATAATTGCTGCTAAAATTACTCCAGGGTTTGGGATTAAAAACCAGAAGGAATAAGTCATTAGCATGCACTATGTTTCATAAAATAGTTTGTGCTGGAGTCTTTGCATCAACATTATTTGACAACATGCTAATTAAGGCTATTAGCACACACTTGGGCATAATTATTCAGCACGATATGTAGGTATTTAGCGGCGTTGTTTCATTTGAACGTGGGAGTCAGGCAGCTAAATCCCCTTGCATTACCAAGTATTTATGGCATGACAACAGCGTAGGAGACTTTGATTCATGCTCCAGAGTTGCCCGGGTACGTTTTTGGAAGGGGAGTTATGATTTCATAGCCAATGTTCCACTGGAGGAAAACAGCAGGTCCTCCACAGAGACGCAGTCCCAGTGGCAAAAGACCTTTTTTTTTTTTTTTTTTTTTCCACTCAAGCAAAGGAGGCACAGTTAAATGTTTAAATCTACCCTTCCCTTCAGCCAGAAGCTCCAGAAAAGAGAACAAAAGGGGTTGAAATTTTTTTTTTCCCCCCAAGGTGTAAGGTTCCTTGAAAGAAATATCTGCCTGAAAGCGCAGTATAAAGTTGCAAATCAAAGGTCTTGACGAGAATCCAAAGCCTTTGAATTAGCAGCAAAGGCAGGAGCTACTCCCAGATCCCGACGTTAAAGGGTCTGCACTCCAACCGATACCGCTCCCCCGAAATCAGCAGGGACACGGCCCAAGGAGCTTTCACCCAGCCCGTTCGAGTACCCATAAACAGTTTGCAACGGCGCCGACTTCAAAGGGGCTTGTAAGAAACCAGCCCCTGGGAACACAGATGGACACGTAGCCCGGAGCTGCGCGCCGTGCTGCTGCATGTACCCAAGCCTGGCTCGAGCTGCAGTCACACCTTTTGCCTGAGCGTAGGCATGTTCTGCCACTGAAAAATTTGGCTTTCCCCTCTGAGGCAAACCCTGGCACTGACACTTTCAGGTATTCAGCCTTAGGGGAAGTATCTGGCAGTTCCTTGCTTTGCTGTAAGAGTGCAAAGGAAAAAAAAAAAATACAAAAAAAAAAAACCCCAAGAAAACCCAAACCACATTCAGTTCTAGGAAGAGAACATAGCACTGGTTAATTGACTGACTTTGGGTTAGCCAAAGTTCAATTAAATAAGATCGTGCCGTAAAGTTCTGTAGAGGTCTCCCACGTTTGCTTCCCAGCATCAGGAGCTGCTGGGCAAAGGCAAGCACAGTAAATGTCACCTGAGAAGAAGCTGTAGCCCAACAGTCAGGCTGGCTGTCCATGAGAACTCCCCAGTCTGAGTTTAAACAAACTAGCGCAAGGTCTGCAGTAACCTCCCCTCAGGTTAACTTATCTTTGAAGAAAACTCACCTTCAGGGGACATCATGCATTTTGACAGAGTATTTGTTACCCAGGAGAACCCCATGTAGATGTCCTCTTAAACAATATGGGACTGCACTAGAGTTGGCTAAATCGTTCATATTAAAGAAAGGAAAGTGGTTCTGCCTTCTCTGATTTCCAGACATAGCTACAGGGGCTACAACTAGGCTTTATAGATTTAAACTGCATACGTACCTATTCAACATATATATATATATATATATATATATATATATATATATTTTTTTTTTCCCCACAGTCCACAACTAGCCTTGAACTTAAACAAAAAGAAGTACCAGCAGCAAGTCATTCATCAGATAGCTGCTGACCTGTCTGGGGGGAACCCCAGCTCCCTTCAGCCCATGGGCATTCTGCTGTTGGAGGTGGCAGGGCCAGGACAGCACCCTCTTTGGCCACCGACCTTAGAGACCAAGGACTAAAAGATGGTGCTCAGGTGGTGGCCAAAGAGAAGGGCAACGGGAAAGCACACTGCATGGAGCACAGGCAAGAGAGAGCATCAGAGAATTCTCTAATGGAACTGGGAAAAGTCAAGTAAAATATAATATTGGAAAGCTATGAACACAAAGCTGTACCTCATCGGCAAAGGCCACTCCAACCTGGAGATAAATCCGAGGCAGGTTCATGCCAGATCTTCGTAAGTTTGTGGGAAAAAAATCAAGCATTTTCAAGTAGTGTTTTTTAAGCAGCCTTTTCTCACTCGCCTTCTGGATGCCCAGACGATGCCTAATACTGTAGCTCTAACAAGTATTTTCACTACTTGGGAGCTGGGCGCAACCTGACAGTGAATGATACTGATTGCACTGCAAAGTTAAAAGGGGTCTAAGACCATTTCAATACTCGATAGGTGAGTCTGTGTTGCAAGTTTCTTTTTAAAGGGTGTTTTCCCCAAGTCTTTAAGATTTAAATAGTAACTCCCGAAAAACTATCATGCTGCAACTCAAGGTACACAGGTAAAGCAACACCCAGCCAGATTAAAAATCTCCACCTTGTTCTCTATTTTGTAGCTGGGTAACCCTAGAGCCTGGCAGGGCAGAAGCCAACACCGATCAAACCAAAGATAAATGCAAATGAAAAAACAGGTTTTTTTTTGCATTGACCTTCTATTCTTCTGCTGTTCCCTTGTCTTCCTACAGTGCAGCAGATCTGCCAGGTCTCTCCCAGGCTTTCTGAAGGAAACTTGGTGTCACCTCAAAAGCGGGCAGTGGCATTTATCAGCTCAACCTACTCGGCGGCGACTGCGAGCGCGGCACCGCTGAGAGCACAACCACAGGTGGCTGTGGGTGAGATCCCCGGCTGCACGGACCAGCAGCTCCTCAGCTGCACCCGCAAGCGCTGGGAAGCTGCACGTGTTTAAAATACGTGCATGCATCTAAAATGGGTTTTGGCAACTGAGCCCATTCAACCTAGGTAGACGAAAGGGTTAAAGAAAAGGTTTTCAGAAAAGGGTGCTAGGGTGCCTACTCATCTCTGTTTGTTAGCGGAGGCTACGGGGGGGGGGGGTGTTTATAGAATTTGGTTGATCTATAAAGTTCCACCTTCCCCCATGACTCAGTGATAACGGTAGGATTTCAATGAAGTTCTTCTGTACTGTAATCGCACGTCACTCAACACTTCTCTTTTTGAAAAACCTAAACCACTGGAAAGAAGGGAACTGTTCCAAGTTCCTTCCTGTGGTCAGGGACACTCAGATGAAGACACACACACACAAAGGAAAGCTCGGCAATTTAAGCTTAAAATACGAAACTACATTGGCCATTACAAGTTAAATTAAGTGGTGCTGGAAGCAATACTCTTTAAGACATGAGAACAATCATTTTTAAAGGTCAGCACTAAAGCATAACCAACTCGCTTTTCTTGGCAGAACAAACATATGATTTGAGGTTCAGATAATTATATTGCTCTGCACAGGAGAGAATAAATGCCTTCATCAGAAATGAAAAATACTTTAATGCAGAACATCAGAATAATTTGTGGAACCATTTTTACAGGAGATCAGAGACTGGATAATTGGAGCTATGCAAATTAATGGCCTAACCTGAGAAGTCTTATTCAAGTGTGTAGAACAGTGCGTGCAGAAGTACTCATTAAAGTCAAGGGGGCTACTTGTGCTAGTGAGGACAAGTTCAAGGACTAGCTTTCTTTTATATGGTAGTAGGAAGGAAAATTAAATGTCATGCTTCGGGACATAAAACTGATCACTTGAAGAAGTCGGGAAGGGCACTGTTTTCACTTTCATGTGGGGTAATGCACATCACGTTTCAGAGGTGTATTATGTTGGTCTTTATACCTTTGAAGTCTCAGGTACTGGTCACCGGCAGAGACAGGAAAATAAATTATACATAAACCCCAGAATTTTAAGCTGTCTGGTCCTAACTCCGTCCAGAGAAAGCATTAGCGTAGCGTTTTCTAGATAATATCCCGAACATGAAAGTGATGAACAATTCCTTTGTCTGCTGGACAATAACTGATCTCTTAAGAGCCACATTTGTGTCTTGAGTGATCACAGTTGGCTTCATTAGGGCCACTGGATGAAGTTTGTTTTTTCCAGCACTCTCACAAAATGATCACAATTCAAACCTTAATTCCTCTGAAATCCAAAGCACATAATCGTGTTAGGATCAATCTCCAAAGCAAAGCAGCCACTTATCAAACAGATGGATTATCCTAGTGAAGAAGCCGCCTGATGCACTTCAGCACTGCTTGCTTTGAAAAATACCCAAGACTTTAATTTCCTGCCTTTCAAAGAATAGTTCAATCCTAGTGATTAAGCTTTAGTATCCACCTCCAAAACCACAATTTCCGACACACCGTCGACAACTTCAAGAAAACATTAGCAATCAAACTCACACACACATGCTCAGCAGCTGCAACGCCTGCCTTGTCTCTGTGCTTGCATGCCCACGGTAGTAGGCTCTTTTTGCCTGCTGCTGTTAAGCAGATAGTGATGGTTAATTAAACTAGTCCTTCACCTTTTATGTGAGGTGAAGGACTAGATGTAGGACTAGTAGAAAGGTCTCACCTTTCATGCTTTGCACCTTTATTAGTGGCAGTGAATGCCCAACGCTTCCTCCCTTGACAGCATTTTACTGTGTTTTTCCTCACCTAGCATAAATGCAGAGAACTGCAGGAGAGAGGAGGCAATGGAAAAACCAAGCCCTTGGAGTCCTGACATGGACAAACGCCACGCGAAGGACATTTTGCAGGTGAACTACACTAAGCATTCTTCATATCCTTGCGATGGATGAAAGCAATGCGATATTCCACCTCCTACTTTGAGCCACTTCTTCTTGTTTAAACCCTGCCTCCAAGGAAAATAAATTGACGTTGCAACAGTGTCTTCAAAGCAGCACAGCTCTCAAAATCTGCATTCTTACCGTTACCTGTAATTTTAAATGAAATTTAGAGGCATATATCTGAGTCAAGCTTATATCCTCTGGTAGGAAATGTTATTGTATGTTCAAAGTCTTGCATATGATTGACAATGCAACTTAAATACCGGAGAAGGGAAGAAACAGAGGGAATGCATAATCTCTGAAAAGTAGGGCCAGGCTTCCTTGTTTTTAAAGCACCAAGGTTTTGGTCTAAGTGCTCAACTTTCATCTGGTTTGACCGTGAGCCAGGCGACTACCCTTCTTTGCACCCTTGGCAAAAGCCAAAATCTAGAATAATCTTGCTGTAACTGCTTGCATTAGAAATGCAGGTTTGCTGAAATTCAGGGTTTCAATATTAACAACAAATAGAGACTTAAAGGGCTGATTTGCAAAAATGAGATACTGCCTGGGCTTTTTCAGAGCTGATCACACATGCTTCCCACCCTGCAGCTAGCAGCTGAAGAACAAAGTCGTATTTAACATATCACTATTACTATACCATCAGTGTCTGAAAATAAACCCGATTCACAGTGCTGATTCTAATGATGCAGAAAGTGTGGGTTAAGTAAGAATAAATGGATAAGTGAAAGAGAAACAAAATCATGGGTTGCTCTTATTTGGGCGTTCTAGATTTTTTTCCCCCTTCCTTTTCCCAGGGCACACATCACATTGCAAAATGTTCATTCACAAAATAGAGCTTGACATTTGAGGAAGAAGGCGGACTTCAAAATAAGTCCGCCTAATCTCCCAACATAGGACTTGAAAAGTTGCACATAAACGAAATTTCATCTGTTACTAAAGCTATTGAATAGACAGAAAGGATTTTGGTGGAAAAAAGTTGATTGTCAGGATTCAGGAAGAATAATTATTTTTTGCCTTTAATCTTTGTGGGGAGATGAACACCTTCTTTGCACTTCTGGTTTTCACTTGACAAATGCAGAATTGCACCCGTAACTTTCCTTCGAGACGAAGACTGAACAGGTAAGAAAACACTCGTCAGTCTGTTTCCCTGTTCAAGACAACTTGAAATAACCAACTCACCTCGTTTTTCCTAACCTACAGGCACAGACTCCTGGGCAGAGATTGCGTTACAGAAGGAGGGTAGGCTGGCACAGAGCCTGGAGTGGATAACTTATGGCATGAGATTGCACAGGGACTGGAGTAGGTGCAGAAAATACAGCCAACAGATACTGAGTTTGGCATGCTGTCCTTTTTCAATAACACTGCCTCTCTCCGCCTTGCATCTAAATCAGCTTTATCACAGCATATGACTCGTTTTTTTTGTTTGTTTTTTTTTTGTTTTTTTTTTTTTTTCCTGGAGATACATAATTAAAGTACTGTGCTATGCTTCTATTGATTTTTGCAGGCTATTTTCTGTCTGGACTATAGGGTGTCTGTCCTTCTGGGAGAAGGGACAAGCCAGGACGACAGGGTATAAGACAACTGAATCTTATCCTTGAAGAAGACGGGATGTTATGGAGTCCCCGAAGGCAGCTGAGACGCAGACCCCCAACCAGACGGCTTTGCAGGGACAGGGCAGAAAAAAAACCAACACAGGGCGAAATGATAAATAACCACAGCCCCACCGCCCCAAAACGTTACCTGTTGTGAACCTTGGCTTAGTGGGTGGCTCCTGGACGGACATCGGGAAGGTGGCCGAGGCGGGTGAGGACTGTGCACGGGACAGAGGCCGATGCCCTCCGAAAGAGACGGGCATGCCAGCTGCCTCCAGCGACGCCTGGTAGTTTCTCAGCTGGTGAATGCGTTGCTGCTCCAACAGAAGAGCTTGCTGCGGGGGAAAGAAGCAGGGAGCTGCTGAAAGTCTGCGCGGTGCCTTCATGAAAGGGTTTTAAAGGATTTTTAAGGTTCGCAGGCTTGGACTCCTTCTCCTGCTAAACAAGCGCACGCAGATGCATAAAGCAAATCAAGATGTGCACCTTTGCAGAGCGACGTCAGGCAAGCACAGCACGTTCGAACCCCAGCCCTGAAGCTGGTGCACACTGGCAGGGTCATTACTAGAAGCAGCTCCATCCTCCCCACGGGACTGGCCTCGTCTTCCTCCCCCTGTGCTCCCACCCTGCTGCAGCGGTACATTTAACAGCGCACCGCACCAGGCCATGGAAGGAGGCCAGCTCAACCCGACCCCAGGCAGGAGAGGGAGTTTTCAACGGAGCTGGCTCTCTGCACAGCCACAGCATCAGCTGGACAGGCTCTTGGTCAGAAGGGATGGCTGTTCCAGCTTGCCACACCGCAACCACAGCCTAACACGGTTCCTCTTTTCTCTGTTTATTCCCTCTCCTCTTTGAGGCAAAATAGTTGCAAAGGACAGAATGTTTTCAAGACCCCTCAGGTGCGATCACGCGTTCAGGATTAGGGTGGAGGGGTTGCATTTTCAGAGGAATCTTATCGCCCTGGTCTGTCATTAGCAGCATGTTACATTTTCTTTATTTGCTTATTTACTAAGGCAGTGAGGCTCAGATGTGACAGCAGAAGTCAAAAAGCAGTTTGCACAAGCAAGGGTGGCAACGGCACTGATCTTTCAAGGCAGCGCTGTCACGATGATAACGCTGCTCAGTAAGGAACCGAAAATTCAGTCTCTGAGTAACAACAGGCAGAGACATCCACGGGGGACAGGCGAGTCAGCGCCGCCCTGCTAGGACGAGGCAGGGAGCAGGGAGATGGGGCTGACTACAGGGAGCAACCCATTTGCACCTGATTCACAGCCGCTGCAACTGCAAACCTGGCACAAGTCCGTTTTCCCTAGCCAAGGGCTGTGGATTTACTCAGAGCGCTACACCCTGGCATGGCTACAGCAATCTGCTCTTGGCTGCAGATCCCGTGCGGGCGTTACGGGCGGCTGTAGGTACAGTCAGACGCTGAGTGCTAAGGGCTGCAAAGATAAGCAGAGCGCTGATGCCTTAAGAGAACTGCAACCTGCTCACCCTCATTACCGCTACCACAACTGACAGATTTTGGGAGACTGCCATGTAATTGGGAAGATTATGCTACGCCACTTTGTTACTGGATTTATTACTTGCAATCCACAAGCCTCTGGTGTTTACCCTCAGAAGCGAGCCCAGCTGCGATCCCCAGTTGTGAAGAAGGAACCCTCTCCAGTGAACCACATCCTTCATTCCCTTATCTAGCCTTTCTCTGGGGCAATTTGTTTCAAAACGTAAAATCCTCTGCTAGTATTCAGTGCTCAAAAATGTTAAAGATGCACTTTGTGTCTTTAACAAAGCAGAAAGTGGTTCAGGGGCTGCAAGCACGTTGCGTGTGTTTTGTGCAGGTGATCCAGATTCTCCCCCCTGGGACTTCCGAGTTGACACGGTGCCTCCAGGGAAGGATGGCACTGATTTGACCTGCAGGTTCCTTTACGGAGCAAATCCTCAAGAGCTGGTTCTCCCTAGCTTCTTCCCCTTCGAGTAGTATAAGGTGACTACCAAGAACCAAAGATCTCCTACAAAGAAGCAAGTCCCAAACTTGGTATTTTTGTGAGCTCACCTGACGGAAGAGCAGCTCCTGCTCAGCCTGCCTCTGCCCAGACTCCAGCTCCTGCTGCGGCTCCGATTCCTCCTCATCACTCTCGATGGGTTCTTGCTTCACTTGCACCATGTTGGCCAGCCCTGGGGCCTCCTTTTGGCTTGCGACTCTGTCGCTGTATGGCTCCTCCAAAAGGGCTTGGTGTTCCCGTAACTCTTCTTCTGTCTCCTCAGGGTGGCTTTCATGCTGGCGAGCTGGTTCGTTGGGTTTTGATATAATCTGAAAACAACCCAGATGTTAACTGGTAAGTAAAATGTAACTCATCGCGGGTAAAGTTCACTCTGTTCTCCACAAAGAACCAGCTTCATGAAAAGAACAGTTGGGAATTATAGCTTTTATCTTAAAAACTAGGTCCAAAACAACCACTCAAGGGAAAGGTCAGGTTAACCTTGGCATTAAGTGCTATGAAATCCGGTGTCCTAAATAATGACGGCCCCTTCATTTTGCACTTGATTTGTCCTCTGAAGAAATAAAAGCCTCTTGTGCCTGCACACCTGTGGATGCTACTCCATTCACAAACCCACAGAGGAGAAGCATAACAACCATCGGTACATCTGGCAACTAAATTCTGAAAAAAAGTAAGAGACACAAACCCTCTAAGAGGGTTTCTGCTACCTTGTTTGCCCAGCTTCTCAAATCACACCCTGAATTTTATCTGTAAAGTGAGAGGCCGTCTTAGAAAGATTCCTCTGAAACGTGCACTCTTATGAAGTTAGTTAGGAGGAAACTGAGGACACTCAACTTACAGCATCTGCACAGAAGCAAACTGCAAGAGCAGCGTCATTCTAACCAGACCTTCCTAACTAGAGACTGGGAACTTCTCTGAAAGCCGCTGCTAGAACAAAGGGCACAATATAATTTTCACTGTAATTCACACAGGCTCAGACTTTTTGAAGGTTCCTTGGCAAGATAAAACTCACAGTTGTCTGTCTCAGGCTGCTTATGATTATTTGGAACAACAGAAAAAATATACGTGAACTGGTTTTAAATCCAGCACAGGTAAATAAATCAATTTCCTTTCTTTAAAAGAGCTCAGGCTGTACCCATTTCATAGGCTTATAAAGAAACTGCTGAACTTTGAAAGTTGTCAGGGCAGAGCTTTAATAAGGATTAGGTCATTGGTATGAAAAGCAATATTGATTTTAAATCTAATAAAGCTAAATCAAAACACAGTTATTGAACACATACAGAAGGAATGACTACTTGTAAGTAACTTGCTCTTTGAAGAACAGTGGCTCAAACCTAAAACTAAGCCTTTTTCCCTAAATGTAGGAAGAGAGGCTCTGCCACCTAACTTAAGCAAACCAATACAAAGCAGATTTAGGCAGACAAAGGTAATATAAAGGATTAATTGCCTGCAAGTATCACAGCAAGGACAGCAAGAGCTCGCTCATAGCTACAGCAAAGGACCTCAAATAACTGGGGCTCAAAGGTTTTAAAAAGGGAGGACTGGGACGCAGGGCCACGGCTTTCCAGTGCTTTGTGGATTAGATGTCTCGGCTCCTGAGAGGAGCAGGGCACGTAGAAGGGCATTACCTTGCCTAGAAGCTTAAGGCAAGACCCTCTGGGGTTCACGTGGACCCCCAGCACGGATGGGGGGTGCAGTCCATCCCTCTTAGCAACAAGAGCTGATATTTTTGTACTGAGCAACAACCGGCTGCTGTTGGTAAGAGGGTTTCGGTGTCTACAACTGTGGAACCACCTGAGAGTCAACAGTTTCTTGGAAGAGATGGGATCCACCCGACTAAACAGGGAAAAAGTGCCTTTGCCAAGCAGCTGGCCAAACTGGTAGTCAGGGCTTTAAACTAGAAACGACAGGGGAGGGAGTGGTCCCTCACCGAGCAGCTAAGGAGGCTGGGGACAAGGCAGGCAGGCCAAGGGCCTGGGGTGCAGTGAGCAGAGAGGACACAGCGGTCAACAAAAAAAAGAGCTGAAGAGGCATCCCTCTGAGTGCAGGCATGAAAAGCAGGAGGTGCCTGCAGCACAGTCTGATGGGGAAGGTCTGGAGCCCGTCCTGGGGAACTGGCACGCTTGGGTGCCGACAAATACATGCTGCGTAACTAAACCACGTTAAGTGAAAGGGTAGCTCTTGCATCAATTTGCTTTAAGCTTTCTTAGGCTTGATGAATATAATCTGTTTTAAAGATCATTAAATTATCATAAACCATTTTCTGCTACTTTTTGTTCTGCTTGGATCAGAGGTCTCAAGCTTTGAACTTAATACCTTTTGAACTTATGAACTATGCAAGGTAATTGCTGGGAACATAACTTACAATGTCACTGTCAAACCTAATGGAAATGAGAAGCAGTGTAATTCCCTTCAAGTTTTAAATTGTTCCAACTCCATAAAAATGTAAGCATTAAATGAAAAACACAATGAAGGTTGAAAGATCAACTGGTCAATAACAAGGACATTTCAAACATTCACTTCGCTCTCCTAATACAAAGTGAATCTCTTGGTATGTCGTTTGTTCTAGCTGTTTGCAACCTTGTTCTTCTTAAAGGACAATATTGCAAAGAAAGCGCTTTGTTATGAACATATTCCCTATAATACATGAGTATGTGCATCCCAGGCCCATTAAAACTCCCTAAAAATCTTCCATTTTTGCAATTTTATGAACATATGTTTGTGTAATTTAAGAAAATTTAAGGTAATAAAAGTGCAAGGGAACGAATATAAAGTTAAGATAGCATAGAAAATGCTTACAAATATATCTGAAATAGTAAACAATTACACAATGCACCATAAATAACTTCTCCTTCCCTTAATTAGCTCTCTAGCTTCCTTTGCAATGAGGTTACTCCTTTATTTTCAAACAGTCGCCTCTGGCTATCACATACTGCCACCATAAAACACTGTCAATGGCACTGCCTCTCTAGCCTCAGACAGCTATTTCAGTACAGAAGAAACTGTACCTTTCTAGTCACAAGCATTTTTAGAAGACTCAATGCAGCTGGCAAGGTTTCTTATCTACATCTTTGAAATATAAAGAACAGAAAGAAAAAAAAAATCATATCAACGTCAGGTCACAATACAAGTTAAAACAAAGAATTCATCATTTTTCTGTGGAATGCTTCATAAGGAAGTAACAGCTGCATTTCTTTGCTAGCAAAATTTCAGGTCGGTTGGCATCTGATTTGTCTCCTAGATAGGATATATCTACTTCTTCATGATACCTTCTCTGTAGTGGCTAAGTACTTAGGACACCAAAGACTTCAAAGATAACTACTAAACAGGCTAGAAACATCTGTTTACTCATCGCAGACTAATGAAGAGTCCTCAACAGAAAAATGCTTGAGAGGCTTCCAGAAGGAAAAAACTAATGCAGTTTTTCTTTAGGTAACAAAGTGTCACAGGGACCTGTGTCTGGTTCTAGAAGGCGGCCAAAGAGCTCCTTGGGAAGCAGAAGCAGAGCTGAAGAACTTCCATAGGACTGCACAGCAAAGCCTCCCAGCTGGACAGACCAGCTCTGAAGCAGCTGTGCACCTCTGAATCTTTCTCCTACGATGACAAGCAGTTACAGAAGAAATCTCTGGTCCTGCACAATTAAAAATCACAAGGTTCCTTCAACACTGAATGTGATGGATCACCTCCGTTATCAAAGACTGGCAGAGATGAAAGTTGGGCATGACTTTAAGTCAAACGTGAGATAGATCTGTCCTCAAGATCTTTTCCAATTCAGGAGTCCGACACAGGAAAGTGGCGTTTCTCCAGTGTTGCTCACCCTGGTAATGGTTACTGAAAGTAGAAAACAAGTTTGAATCACTGAGGGGACTGCTTCCAGATATGAGATTGTCTTGTGGAAAAGGACATCTCTGCTGGAGGGAATACCTCAGTCATGCCCTCCAGAGACTTCAGTGTTGCTGGACAGACTGGTGTGCATCAGAGGATACAGGCTGGCGGCGAAAAACAACCACACACACCTTCAAAGTTTAGGATAAACCACCACGTTTCCATACAGCTCATCCAGGGTTATCTGGCAGCAGAAGCTCAAAAAGATGATACCTGACAACATGCCAAAACCCCATTCCACTTTGCCAGGTATGTACAGCTGGTCAAAACTTTGTGCAGACAGGGATACGCTGGCAGGTGTTCAAGACAGCACTACTGTTGATAACTATCCATTTTATATCCTGGAAAATAAGCATTTTTTTATCCTGGGAATATATCCCAGGATATATTATCCGTTTTATGTCCTGGGAAGTGCAGAGCATGCCCAGCTGGGTGGAGCGACTTCCCTGTTTCGGGAATGGGGTGGAGTAGCAGAAGGTACCAGCCAGGACCAAGCCAGCTTCAGCATCTTCTGTGCTCGTACCACCAACCACGCAGAGTCCTGGTCCTCCTTGAAAGCCCTGTGGGGGACACAGGCATCGGCGGGGCAGCAGGGCATGTCCCACTGACCTGAGGATGAGAGGAGGCCGGGAAGCAAGGGAAGCCGACAGACTGGCTCGGCATTGCAGAAGCAGAGCAGAAATCTCCCTTCCCTCCCTCTGGAGAGGAAGGACAAAGTCAGGGAAGAAAGAGAACAACTCTGGATAGCTGGAGACACAGCTTTGAGGAAAATGAGGAACAAACAACCAGAGGGGGGAAAAAAAAAAAAAAAAAAAAAAAATGGAGATGATAAAGGCTCAGCTCAAGAGCATCCTGAGACAGATGGCCAAGAAAGTGTTGGTCTTGAGTCAAGGAAGTAGCTAGGAGGAGCTGAGAGGTGGTGTGGAGCAAGTACGCCGGCTGGGGTGCTGAAGAGAAAGAAGAGCACTAGCAGAGAGGTGGAAGGCAAGAGCAGCATCCACAGGGGAGCATGCACATGGACAAGTGTTTGGAGAAGAAAACGTATTGCTGGGGTTTGAATTAATCACTTGCAAATTATAACACAAACCTTGCTCTTCTGGCTATCGATATGACTCTCCCCGTAGCCCCTGGATTCTAATTTTTAACTTTTATAGATTGAGAAGAAACAAGAGATGATAGGGGATGATGGGGAGAGGCCAAGTTGGCATAGGCCGCTTAGGGAGCTGACAGAGCTTTCTGCAGCAGCCAAAGACTAGAAATTTTTTCTTTTTTTTTTTCCTTGAAGTGATGAGACAGCAGGAAAACGCATAACTGTCTGAGGCAGCCTATCTGCTGGAAGGACCATGAGACTGCTGGCCTCTGTGCTCAGACACAGAGGGAATGACCCAACTGTAATTAATCAAAGAACAGGGACTGCCTGGAGGGG